CTCTTCCGAAGACCGAGCACACGAGATCTCGATGATTGCCTCGGGATTTCCGCTGCCTTTTCTGATCGCTACGTTCGCTAACACGGCGTCCCGATCGAAGGGATCCAGCACCCAACGGTACATTGCTCTCTGTGGTTCGATGACAATATATAGATGAAGAGATTATATGTGTGTAAGTGTGTTAAGGTGTTAAAATGAAAAATTAGAATATATTCCACGAGGGTTTATTGAAATTATGTATCAACCACAATTTCCTCATGAAAATGAATTTACATTTACACGCAGGAAAGAAAAAAAACCCGAAGAAGATGAAAATACATATTGAAATATATTAAAAAAAACCCAATATTATGGTACAGAAATATACAACTTTTACAAAACTCCATTTTTCAATTTCATATTATCGTTATAGAACCATGCATGGAACTTTGTTGGATTTGTTAGACTTAGATTTGATTTTCTCTATAGTTTCAAATGAAATATAATCAAATCGAATGTGTTGCAATAATAATAATAATAATAATCAAATATAAAAAAAATAAACCTAAACCTCGAAATGACCAGAGAGCTCGGATTCAAGGCGCTTGATGAGATCCTCCTGGTAAAGATCATGGTAAGCCTGTCTTATTTGAAGCCTCTGTGTCGCATTTCTGTGTCCCAATATGTTTATTATTGCCTCCTCATCGGTTCCCCACCCTACCACATAATTCCAACATTATAAATCAATTAGATTCTTAAAACTACAACAATATATATATATATATATATATATAAACAAATATTACTGGGGAAATTGAACAAAATGGGAGGAAACAGAAGCCTTTGGAGGCCACTCGAAGTGAAAAAAAAATGTAGAAATATGTATTTCTCTTCATAACAGAAATAATTATATATATATATATATATATGTAGATTTTTTTTTATAAAAAAAACAAATATTGGGGAAAATCGAATAAAAAAAATGGAAGTAGACAGAAACCTTTGGTGGCCTTTCGAAGAGCTTCGGCGTCTTCGACCGGAAAGATCTCAGAGGGAGCAAGAAGGGTAGCCATGTTTTGGTGTTTGATGTTTTTCTTTCTCCAGTAAGGTGATGAACTCAAATTATAATACATGTGTGTGTATATATATACACACGTACAATTTTTTATTTTTTTATTTTGTAATTATCCGATTATTTTTTTCCTTATATGTTTCAATGCTAATTTGGTTGAATTTATAAATTACAAACCAACTAGACAGCCTGTATTTTCCTATTTCAGAAATGAAGTAAAGCATTTTTCTTCTTTTATTTGGAAAGTTATCAGCAACTTTTTTTTCCTCCTATTAATTAACTTATAAGGAAATGGTGGAAATTTAAAATCATAATATTTTCTGTTTTCCCTTTAAATTTAAGGATATCATTTTTATATAAAAAATATTAACAATTTGATTAATTAATTTTCACAAGGAATAAACCAACCAAGAAAAAAAGACAGGCAAAATAGAAATAACAAATCTTTGAATGTTTCTTAAAACAAATTTGAAAGGAGAACTTCAAACATCATTCATTTTAGGCGATATAATTTCGATATCTAAAGAAATCATCATATATTAAATTTAATTATAGAATATATATTAAAAAAATCTTGCTGCTATATATTTTTTTTCCAATTTTAAATAATACTAACATTGAGGTTTGATTGAAATTTACCCTTCACCGCCTTGTTAAGAGCCTCGGCATCTTCAATGGGAGAAAAGAGATCAAGAGGAGCAACAAGTGTCGCCATTATTTACAAATATATTTTTTTATTTAATTTAATTTCAATATATTTGTTTTTTGTTATGATTTTCATAAGATTATTTATACTGTCATTAGGCAACCTTGAAATTATCACAAAACTCACGTTTATTGCCACGCATTCCGTTTACTTGTTTACCTAAACAAAATTTTCGGTTACATAAGTTTTGTTCTTTTCTAACAATTAATATACTATATAGATGTCTTGTTGTTTTATGCTTAATTTGTTTTAAACTAATTTATATAAATTTATAAAAAAAAACTAGTGGGGTTTATTTTCTCATCGTATTATTAATATATACATATCTGTAACAAAAATATTTTAAATTGCGGTAAAACAGATGACCCCATAGCTAAAACCATCCAAACAATTTACAACATTCGGTGATGTAACCAAAGATAGAGGCGTGAACGTTGAGGAAGAAATATTGAATAATTGAATTTGTATTGCATTTGCACAGAGAATTCATTTTGAGGATATTTTCGGTATATGTGATAGCTATTGTTGATGAATGGCATTGATTAGGTCATAAAATATTGTTGACAACGATTGCGAATTATTCCAATTCCAAAAAGTGAATATCAATGATTCGTTGTGATTGTTGGTTCAAGCTAAAAAAAATAGAAGAGTAGTAATTTTTGAAAAAAATATTCATTAATTTTATCGTTATTTGATAAAGCTATTTATAAAATTTGTAAAATGAATAACTATAATTTTTTAAAATACATTTCTCATCAATTTTATACATTTTTAATACGAATCATTTTATTTTCCAATATATATATATATTGCATGCATTTCGTCAGTACGAAAAATATTATATATCCATATGTTGTATGTTATTATGTATGTATATATATATATATATATATATATATATATATTCTTGTGCCAATATATACGTATATATGTATCTATATGTGTACATAAATGCCAGGGCATTTTAGTAATTTGTAGTAAAACGATTGCCGGCCTTGCGGCCCCTTTTTTTGATGATCGTGCAAACTCCACAAACAACAATGAATGACAAAAATAAATATCTCCCAAAAATGTATTCTGCAATCAAATAATAACGCAAACTACACGAAAACAACATAAGAATGTCATCTCCCAATAAACTTGAAAATAAATAAATAAATAAGAAAAAAAAAAGACTGAAGCAGTGTCTGAAGAAAACCCAGGAGAAGGAGCTTTAAAGGGCATATCACAACTCAACAGGTCCGAACGGGTTCCCCTTGGATTGATCATCAGATGGCTTCGAGTCCCCGAAAAAGCTAACCTTTGGTCTCGTCTGTCCTTTCCCCAACGGGAAGTTCCAAAAAGAATCCGAGTTCTTGAAGAATATGTAACAAGCAATGGCCGACACCATGAACAGTCCCAAGAGCAGTAGATAGATCTGCCAGTCTGCGTCCAACGCATAGATATATAAAGACATGACCTCCGGAATTCAATAACCATGGAGCTCAGTCACATATATATACGCATATATATATATATACCTTTCCAGTCGGAGGGTACAGAGAGTCTGGTGACCATCTCTCCCCATTGGGTTGAAGATGTCAGCAAAACCCTAAGAACCATTCACCAAAAGTCCAAAACTTGTTAAGACAGTAGAACCGACAAACAGATGAGTTTACAAACAAACCGAAAGAAACAAAAAGTTTTCGGCTTTCAGTGTTTCAAATAAGCGGGCGTCGAGAACGGGAAGATTAAAGTTTTGAATTTTGTAAGATTTTCGCGGGTGACGTGATCATATTTCATCTGCTGGACCTTACCTCTCACTAGGGCAGAACTCCAATAGAGCAATAGATTGGCCAAGATGTAACCTTTTGCTATAATGGTAAATCTCCATGGTCTTGACTTCGGCAACCGAGACATCTCCATCTTTGCTGCCCCTGCAGTCAATGGTGAAAAATGATGAAGACAAAACTCATACAGTTAATTAACCGAAATTAACTACCGACTGAGCTGAAGAGGCACTGACAGAGCAAGATATTTTCCGTCCAGGCTCACTGCCATCGTGGAAGCAGCCTTCCTTATCAGCTTCTTGAACCCAATTTTCTTCCATGTACTGATGTCATAGACATTGACCACGGGCGTATCACCTGATCAAATTTTACGGTGCTTTTGATACGTCGAAGGCAAAGCAAAATTTTTGCAATAGTTTGCTCGAGAAATGGGAGATAAAATACCTCTCTGAGCAGCACAAAACAAGAATGGTTTCGTTCCATCTTTAGAGAACCGACATAATTCGATGTTTTCATCCTGCAATGATAATATGCATATATAAGATACCCGTGTTAGTACATATCGGAAGAAAAATGCTTGAAATGCAACAGATATTCAGATGAAAAATTAGAGAAAATGCTTTAATTTCGTATACTCGTAAATATAGACAGGCAAATCACAAGGCAAGGCACAGATCAAGGAAATGTCAAAACACAAATTCTTCACAAATTTAAAAGATATTAGCTTCCTGAGTGCAGATTGCATAGGATAGGATAGCATGATTCTGGAGATAAGAGGGATGTGAATGCAGACTGAACTCTTGTTTCGTCACATACCGAATTTCGTGCAAGAGTTGCCAAGGGAAAACCATCTTCTGCTTTCCATATTCTTGCCGATCCATCAGTTGATGTTGTGGCCAAGAACTCCGAGTCAAGGCTACAAAAAAAAAAGGACATGCATATATCAGACTCACAGTCAGAACCAGATTTTGCAAAGACGAATATCGTCTTTCCCCCTTCAACAAAAAACAAATCCTGTCCTTTTGCATGTTTCTTTTTTATTTCTAAGAGAAGACTAAAAAGACTAAAAGAGTACAAAACAGAGTCTCCAGTCATTCTTCATTCGGGTTCCAAACTTTTAACACAAGGGGATCATCAATTTCTTGACAAGCATTAATTCGATCATGCGATGAAAAGGAAAGAAACAGGAGTGAGGTATACGGACAAAGGAACCCTCTGCTTACCTAAAATCCATATCCTTGATAGATTTGTGTGCCTTTGGCTCTTCCAAGATTAAACGAAGGTTTGGCCACTCCAGAATTCTCAGACATCCATCCTGCAATCATCATACAGCTATTAAATGTAAAGGAAAACATCGTTAAAGAATAGCACACCGGTACCAGTAAACAACGTAACAGAAAGAAGCTCTCGGAGAGTAAAGATTGTCCAGTTCCTCTCACCACTCCTCCAGCAGCAAGTTTAGATCCATCAAAGCTGAAGACCAAGCACTTCTGTGGTCCGACAACTTCAAGAGGAAGGGGTTTTTGGTCTGAGATCTTAATAACCGTCTCTCCTCCACAGACCTCAAACAACCTGAGCATCGAGCAAGTTCCAAGAACATTTCACACTAAATAAACTTTGATAGACGTTCACACAAATAAAGTTTCGGCCATCAAATCTTACATGCTAAGAAACCAAGTACAATTCTCGTGATTGTGGCACAAGTATGTTGATATATAAGGACAATGCGATCAAGCAGCTCGGAAACAAAGATATAAGGCCTTCCTCTTAAAAAGAAAGAAAGAAAGAATTGGCACTATTTTTCTACTAAGTAGATGCCTAGCTCTTAAAAAACAGAACACATTGATTATACTACATACAAAACCTAACATGGTATGGAGTAAAATCTATAAACTCGCTTTGGCAAGGATTATCTTATCCTCATTATAGACGATGTTGCGCCGATATATGGAAACAAGAAGGTAAATCAAACAACATGGTGCAAAACATGATTAGCAAACTGCTCAACAAACATTACACAGACAGTAATTTTGTAATAACTAAGATCAGCATATGTATGAAGGTTGATCATATTTTCAGGGAAATGGAAAGGGAAAGCATACTTGCAACCCCCTTTGGTGGTCGAGCAAACAAAATCATCTCCCCCGGGATGAACTGCAGTTGCAATTGGATCACCATCGCTCTCTTCAAGCGTATGTGTTGCCTTCATTCAACAAAAGAACAGTAGAGGAAGAAGAATTTCTCATCAGAAGAAAAAAATCAGAATCAATCGCCCAAACAGGGAATCAGGAAAAAAAAAAAGGGAGATGAATTAAAGGAAACAACGTAGGTTTCTCCCAAACCCTAACCCTAGCCCTAACCCTTCCAAAATCAAATTTAAGAAACAAAATTTCGAAATTTGAAAGCAAACCCACGTACCCAGAAGCACGAAACCTATTGAGAAATCACGAAAACATCGAAACCGCGATTTCGAAATTTCATCAAGCGAGTCCAGAAATAACAAAGACACATACCAGAGGAGACGAGGAGAGAGATGAAGTCCTGGGATCGAAGGAGAAGATCTCAATGACGCCAGGAGAGAGAACAGACGAGCCACGGCGTCTCGCGGCTCTGCCCAGAACGACCCAGTTCGCTTTCTCGGGTCGACGGATCCATGACCCGCACGTGACGTGCCCGGTTCGGGTAGACCCATCTTCAATCTCCATGGATTTATCCTTTCGCAATAAACAGAGAGCGATAACAGATATCTTTGCTACGTTTTTCCCTGTTCGCGAACAAACTCGATCAACTGTTCGAATCTTTGTGTGTGTGTGTATGATATATATATATAAACACAACCAAATCTTCAGAAATCTGATTTATTTAAGAGGAAAAACAAGACTTGAACCAAACTTCGTTGTTTTTGTATCGCGTTGACCTTTCAAGTTAAACGGACATGGTGGTAATCTTCGATTAACCTGAATTTTAATATCAGTCGTGCTTTGAGATAATTGGACAGGGATGATAGCAAAAAGTCAACGGCTATGGTGGAGGATATTCCTTGTTCTTATTCCGTTTGGATTTGATGGAAATTATTTTTCTTTGAAATAAAAAATAAAAAAAAACCCTGAATTTAAAATTAACAAAAAAAAACAAATCCATTTGGGCTTATGAAAGAGGAAGATGGGGATTAGGCTGTCTGGATGGGCTTTTTTAAGGTATTAGAGCCCGATTTGTATTCATGCGAAATCAATTATAAGATTTTTTTTAATGAAAAAACAATGATAAGATTATATATAAGTTAAGTGTTAAATCAATTATAAAATTATACAAAACTCATTTCCTCGGCCTATTTTCTATGTCGTTCGATCATGTAGAAAAGATCGCAGCGATGGATACGTGCCTTCGACATTTTGATTTAACTATATAAAATTAAATCGGATTAAACAAACTAAAGAAATTGGAAATTAAACTTAATCAGATTTGAAAACCGATTATATATAATTTTTTCTTAAATTTAATGCATCGAACTCTAATAAATACCGAAACATCTCAAATAAGAAACTAAAGCAAATGAAAATTAATTATATATATATATATATATATATATTTCAAAGTCTAACTGATTAATCCAATTAAAAGCGAGATTTTTCTTTTACAAAAACGAATGTTGTATTAAATCAATTTAATTTAATAAATCGAAACCACAATAAAGAAGTCAACCCAATTGCAGAAATCATTAATACATGTGATTATCCATCTCAAATAAAAACTCGAATCTGGGGTTAAAAAATATATATATATATATATATAGTATCTGTTGAGTCACCCAATTTTTTTGTCGGATCTCATCGTTTGTGGACAAAAAAGGGCAACGAGTTGCTGTAAATATGGAAGGGATTTTCCTTATCAGCAGTTAGAATCTAGAGCTTCAATCAAGTTCTAAACAAATTAATTGTTTTATTTTCCGAGGAGTTAATCTAACTAGGAACAATGGTGCCGACATAACCGACTCCAGCAACAAAAAAGGCAATGGACTGCAAGAACAGATATACATAGAAGTATGTCTTCCCGAACGCAACATCGTAGCACCCACATAGGAATATATATAACCCCGCAACCAGCTCTCTCCAATTCATTCTGCACACATACGAACCGAATCCGATATAAAAAAAACCCAACGGATATACTTTCTTTACGATCGAAACCGATATAAAAACCGAATGGTTATGAAAGGGTTCGTCTTACCTTTCCCCGAATCTGCTCCGACGCTTTGTAGGAGAAGCGTCACAGATTAACTTCGCCTTGAGCGTGTCGCCTAATTTTTCGGTGACGACCCATTCGTTAACTCTCCCGGCGTCAAACAAGCCGATGAACGTTGCCTTGGTCCGATGCATAGCCATGACGTTCTCGAACAAGATCCAACACACTAGAAGATGAAGTGACCTGCATAACAAAGACTCCGTTCCTATAACATATACAGATCGAGATTTCAAAGCTAAAGATAGGCCGATAAACGGGGAAAACGAAACCCAGAGACTACCGAGGCGTGGCCGCGGCATTGAGGAGAGTGATCGTAGCAGGGACATAGACCGTTGCCCATTTGGGGACTTCGATTTCGGGGAAGAGAACGCTTGTGGGCAAAATGACGCAGTAGAAGAAGAATGTGAATGTATGAACTATTATCTTCCTCACGAAGAAGAAGCTATAAATCAAATACAGCTTCTTCCACAACGACACTCTCTGTAACCAAAAATGTACAATATAAGTTTATGGTTAGCATGACAAGTTGTGTATTTGCTTATACACTTTTAGAGTCCCACATCGATCATAAATGTCATGATTGAGTTCTTATAAGATTATCGATCATATCCTGTAGAGGTGTCACCAAGTTTCGGGTTCGGGTTTGGGCATATAAAACCGAGTCTGAAGTCTGACCCTATAAAACTCAAGTTTAGGCTTTGGTAGCTCGACCAAACCCGAAACCCGATTTGTGCGCTATCAGAAAGCCCGATTTTTTTCGGGTCCACAAATTCAAGCCTAAACCCCATCATTTTTAAGGGAGACTCGGACTGGGTTTCGAGTTTCAGGCCAAAATTGACATCCCTTTATGCCCGTGAGTCTATAAAAGGATTCCATCGTATACCTTGTTTTCAATGATTTCCACCGTCATCTTTTTGAAGAGGTTCGCCGGACCGCAGGACCATCGATGCTGCTGAAACCGGTAAGCTTTGAATGTGCTCGGTAACTCGTTTTTCACCTGGTGAAAACACGACTAGTCGGCTCAATTTACGACATCCTGATCGAACCACTGGCATCGTTACAAAGCTTTTACCTCAATGTCATGAACGTACACGAATTTCCAACCATGAAGACATGCCCTGACAGCCAAATCCATGTCCTCGACCGTCGTCCGGTCTTTCCATCCCCCGGCCTCGTTCAGCGCCGAAATTCTCCACACGCCAGCAGTTCCTGAATGATAACGCTCGCGTTTCATAGTCACTCGGTGTACCCAAATGAACGAGAAATCGGTACTCTTCACGTACCGTTGAATCCGAAAAAGGCATGGATTGAAGAACCAGATTCTTGTTCTGCCAAGAAATGGTAGTTGAGAGACATCTCTTGCATTCTTGTCATCAAACACTCATTGGCATTGACTGCAACGCAATCAGTCCATTGAATCAGTATATGATTGATTTTGGGCAAATTTCAGAAATAAAACCAAGTAGGGGCAATATACCGAACTTCCACCGGGCCTGGACGAGAGCGATCTCGGGGTTGTGGACAAGAAAGGGGACGGTCCGGGCGAGGAAGTCGGTCTCGGGCTGGAAATCAGCGTCGAAAATCACGACGTATTCGCACTGCTTGACGTAGCTATGCTTCATCCCCGCTTTCAAGGCTCCTGCCTTGTATCCATTCCTGTTGTCTCTGATCTCAGACCGTATACTTATACCTTTATTCGCCCATTTTCCGACCTCTAAGTTCACAAGATCCTGTCCTCGACCAAAAACAACGGTACAATATATATATATACATACATATATAAATTCCACATAAACAATGGCTTAAGGTTCAACAAAAGACCTTACTGGCTTGATCCGTGGAATCGTCAAGAACTTGGATGATCATACGGTCCGACGGCCACGACAGCCTGCAAGCTGCGCCTATTGACAGCTGACAAACCTGTAACCGACCGTTACAGTTGAATGCCGTTCGTTAGACGGAATTTAAATAAAAACCCAGATGGATTTAATGCCGGACCAACCTCTTTTTCGTTGTACATTGGGATTTGGATAAGAACCATGGGGTACGTGGAGTGGCCGAGCTCGATATCGTCATTCAATGCCTCCCACCTGTGAACCTTCTCTGGATTTCGTCCAAGTAGCTTGACAATGACCACGACTACGCTCATGTAAACCCTTTCTATGAACAGCATCAAGGACATGACGAAACACAACGTGGCCAGACACTTCAAGATCGGTATCAGGACAATGATTCTGGTCTGCTTCCAAATGTATAGGATCTGTCCCACGTTGTCGATTTTCATCGCCATTTCCTTGGATCCATCGGGAAACGACGTCGCGGATGATAACTCGCTCGGTTCTTGCCGTAGACTTTGGACCTTTCACAGGCAGAAACGACAAAACAGAGCAAACCCAACACAGAATCTGAATCAAACACTTCAAGAAGTAAAAAACAGAGCACAGAGAGACAAAAGGAACACAGAAACAGGGAGAGAGTACCAGGAACCAAAAGGAGACTCGGAAAGAGTCATAAAGGAAGAGAGAGAGCTTCAACAATGGCGACATTGTTCTTCGCAGAGAGACGAGGGAATTTCAGCTCTCCATTATCTCAAGAACCAGTGAATGAGTGATGCGAGAATAATGAACACGAAAAAAGTGTTTATTCTCCTCACTGGTTGGTATCATATAAAATATACGCTGCTTTTTCTAACATTGCCTGTCTCTCTTACCCAAGATTTAGATCTGGTTTTTGTTAATTTTGTCCTTTTTCTCAGTTCTTGGTTTATATAGCTAATTAATTTAATTGGTAAGGAATGATAGGACATTTTCGGTATAAAAATATGAATAATAAATGCATACTAAGAATCCATTTTAAAGCTATTTGTATGATTTTTAAAAATTATTGAAACCAATCTCTGATTAAAACCTATATCCTCAGCAGTTATGTAAATAAAGATTTTCTATTTTTATTCAGCGCGCACACAAAAAAAAATCTATTTTTTTTATTATATATTTCTACTACTACTATGATCTAATCTAAGAAATTTGTGAATCGATTACCATATCTTTGTTATATTCATTAATATAAAATAATATTGCCTTGGTCAGAAATAATATATTTAAGCATCCCCGTCTCATAGCCCACATACTTTTTTTTCTATTATTATTATTATTATTATTATTATTATTATTATTATTGTTGTTGTTATTATCCGATTTATGTTTTTTCTACACGCCTTTTTTCCTAGAGTGTTGAATTATATATTAATTAGTCCTTGTTCATAAAAAATATTAGTAATATGTGACGTGGATGCCCAATTACATTTCAATGCAAACCAAGACGAGTTTACATGCGTGACTGCTGACTAGGGCTGGACGTTTCCGTTCGGTTCTTCGAAACCGGACCGAACCGAACAAAAAAAAACGGTACTTTTCTCGATCCGAAACTGTTCTTAATTCTCGAACGGTATCATTTTTAGAGAACCGAATTTTTCGAAACCGAATAGAACTTTAAAAATTCCGAAAAACTGAATATTTTTAAAGAAAATCTATCATTTTTTAATAAAACCTGAAACTGAACCGAACCGATACCGAAATCGAACCGAACCGAATACAATATAAAAAACGATTGGTACCTATTTTTCTAAAACCGAAAAAACCTAACCGATCCATTCCCATCTTGAACCCGAACCGTTTTCCGAAACGTCCACCCCTACGCATGACTTTGGACATCTTGAGTTTTGCATAAATTATTTTTTCAACTTATTATTTTTTTTACTGAATATTTTATGGCTTTTACTGTTACAGCTACTTATGTGGTTGTGAACCATCACTTTCAAAAGCAGAGTTCCAATATAATTACTTGTGCGTTAATAATATTATCATTGCGAGTTATTTAAAAGACAAAAAGTTATTAATTTTAAAAAGAAAAAAATATGAGAAAAAAATATAATGTGCCAAAAAAAATAGAGAATAATATACGGTAGACTTGAAAAGAATTCAAGAGATGAAGAATACATAACATGGCTATTATTAATATAAACAAAATTATTTATAATAAATATATATAAAATCACTTGAAGTATTTTGTCCGATTCATTATAATTTCAAATAATTTTGGATAGATGAAAATTATATCAATGAGAAACTAAATTGTATTCGGTTAGGATATAATTGATTGAATTCGAATTATATGGTACATTTTATTGTACTTATTTAAGAGTTATTAAAAAATATTTGAATTGCAGAAATATTTAAATAATTAAAATTAATTAGGTTTAGTGTATTTCTCCATCGATAATAAAATCTAAGAGCATGGAGCGTATCACATGCAAACAGTATCCGCAATGCAAGCCAATCTCATTGTAGCGTTTCGTACCACTAGGCCATGTGCTCTAGACCAATTATTTATTTGCCTCACCTAACAATATATATATTTTTATGTGTATTTAATTAAAAATTAACAAAATTTACAATACTCACATAATATGATTTATTAATACTTTCTCTCTTAAATTGGAGTAAAAAAGGTCAAGTTAAGAGAAAGGAATTTATTCATGGTGAATCAAAGTTAATAAATTTTATTTAGTTTAAATAAGGTGATTATTTAAAATTTAAATCATTTAGAGAACTAACTTTTTATTTAGACATTAAAATTTATTTAACTAAAAACCTAAATTATACCGGTGATAAATTTTAAAATTTTAGTTGAATGGGTTACTTAAAAATAAAATTAACCGAACTGAAAAAGCATAATAAAATTACGATTAAAAAAATGGTCTACATCAATTTGCCGATAATTTACTGTTGAAGTTTGAAAAAACTTTGACCAATGTAATCTACCTCCCATGGCTTTGTGCGACTTTTCTACACGTTAATAAATGACACACACAATTATGAACAATTATTTAGAATTTATTTGGCTTTTAATATTAATATTGATAATTATAGTTAAATTTTACTCCCTCCATTTTCTATAAAAACGTCATTTTATAAAATTATCTTGTTACTAAATAGATGTCATTTTAAATTTTCTAGATGATTTTTTAATAATTTTTTTAATTTTATTCTTAATTAAAATATTTAATTCTAATAAATTATTAATGATAATGTGAGTTAATAAGGATATATTTGGTTTTTTTCTCTAATTTCTTAAAAATTGTGATAAAATCTAAAACAATATTCATTTTGAAATGGAGGGAGTAGTTCTTAAATAACGAGAGATAAAGTTTTAAATTGTTTGTGTGTATTTTTAAAAAGCATAAAAATTGTCTCATTTATCTATTATTCTGGGTTTCAATTTTCGGATTTTATTATTCAATTTTTGAATCATTAAATAACAAGCATCTCTTAATGATTTTGTCAAACGGCATTATCAAATTTGAAGCACACTTGAATTTTCATTATTATTTCTTTTTCGCCGATATAAATGCAAATTCAATTTTCGTTTTTCATTCTATATTGGAGGAATTCAATAAAAAAAAGCGTATATAATAGCTGTAAAACTGAGTCCGGATGATGTCATGGTTGGTATGCTTTGCATCATACATTATTAAAATTCTAGTTGAACGGACCAAATTATTATTTCCAAATATTAGACATAATATAAAATATAAGTCATTTAAAACTGTGCGTCCGTTTATGCAATATTCATCTGTATTGATTTTATTAGAATTTATAGCTTATATAGTTTGAAGGTTTTCGAAACATTATTTAGTAAGTTTTTCATTTTTTTGTTTGTAATTGTATTCAGAAACCATCATGTATGCATAAATGAATCACTTGACATGATCCTAAAATTTAAAATGCCCATTTTAAAAGGAAACCCCCAGGTGAGATGGTTAAGGAGCATGGCGAGCAACCATGAGGTCTGAGATTCGACCCTCACCACCTCCTTAAACTCTCACATTGTCGCCTGTCAGTTACGGCTGATTTACCTCCTACGCATGTGTCGCAGGCTCGTGCACGTGGGCTTGGAGTTTGATCCGCAGACGTCTAAGCCCAACTACGGCCCGAGCGTTAGGCGCGCCTGGTGGCCAGGTCTGGTTGGGGGACTGTTAGGCGCGGGTGGTAGTCAGTTCGTCTCCGTTTGTAATGGTAGGTAATCAGGGGTTCCCAATGTATCAAAAAAAATGTCCACTTTAAAAAAAATATGATGGTTGTAAAAATAATTTAAAATTTATTCCAATATAATCTACTATTATTTACATTAATAATATAGATTTTGAGAAATAAATTTGAAAATGGATTTTGAGACTAATAATATATTTTATTTTGCAAACTAAAAATACTGATCACTAACTACTGCTCAACGAAGATAAATAATTTCGATAGAAAAATTTTATATACATCACCAATATCTTAGAGTGAATAATTGCAGCAATTCATAATTTATATCGTTTTTTCACGATGAAATATTATATTTTTCATCTCTAAAATTCCTCTGCCATTTATTTTACGAGCATCATATATATATATATATATATATATATATATATATATATTTGTTTCAATACCAAAATAGATAAGAGATTTGGGGTCACAAAAATGATGAGGTTGGAAGAGAATTTCTGAACGAGAGAGGCCAGGAGTCACATGGTGGGTTTTGGAAAATTCCACTATCTGACTTTGATTACAACCTTTGGGTGCGACCAATTCATATGATTCTTGTTCCATGGTCCCTCCACTTTCCTCTTGAATTATTATGTTTCGTGTTTGCTATTTTAGTGGAGATTAAAAAATTCGAATCAAATAACATTTATAATTCTTTTAAACTATATTAAATAAATATAAATCTAATAAAAAATAAGCAACAACAACAAAATTCCCAATCATATGTTTATAAATAGTAAGCAACTAAAAAAACTATAAACATGTATCTTAGAAAATTTGAAACTTTAACTATTTACCCCAAAAAAAATTGTTTTCAAGAATTGTTGCTGTTTTTTTTTAGAGAATGAAGGTCTGAAAGGACGGGAATGCCAATTTTAACTTAATTAATACAATCTAATAATCCGTTTTGTTTACGGTAAATTTCTAATATATTATATTTCAGATATGGGGTCAATTGAATTTATTTGGGGGGGGGGGTATGATGTTGGTCTATAAATATTTTTTATTATAACGAGCCACATATAGCACAACTTTTCTAAGTTTTATATTGCGACATACGATTATAATAATTAACCTATTGAGGTTAGATTTATTTATCTCAAGCACGTGGAATTACTACAGTTGCAACTCCACGGTCCACGTCATTTCTTGTAGCTGTCACGCATAGTTTCGAGCCCACCAAATACTGAGTCACTACCGAATCAGTAGTGAATTGTCTCCGTAATCGAACGATATTTTTTAACATTCTTATTTTAAAAAAATCGAATTTTTTAGAATCGAATTGAATTTTATAAAAATCTAAAAAACATAATATTTGTTAAAAAAGAAAATCTAATTTTTGTATGTATTTTTTTTGTAGAACTGAAAGAATGGAACTAAACTAAATTATTGTCAAACGAATCTGAACCCTAGTTGAAAACTAAAAGAGAAAAACGATTTTGCAAAATTTATGTTATTATTAATTTTGTAAATTATATTTTTTAGCAAGAATTATTATAAAATTTGAAACTTTAATGGCATAGTCCGAACAATATTTTGTAAATTAATCTATGCAAACAGCCCTTTTGTACATAGTGGTTCAATTGATGTTTCAAATTTTTTAATTCGACGTTAAATGTAAATATATATATATATATATATAATATAGTTAGTACAATGAAATTGGGTTCTCGTGTATTTTATACATTACAGAATAGTAAAAAAATAATTTATAGAGAAAATAAAATAGAAATTATAGATTAAAAATATTAATATAAAGACAATCATCCCTTTACACTTTTATACACCCTCAAGAATCCAAGATATGTAACTGAGCTCGCCATAGTGGTTCGGTGAGCGCGAGACCTAGAACATATGTATATAACGTTAATATTACCGCGACGAATAATCGATGCATAAAGGGAATTATAACACCAATCTCATCGAGAAGATTGACAATCTGCCGAAGCTCACCTAAGGTGACGATCGGTACTCGGATTCTGTGGAAGACCGTGGTGCGAGTCGCTTCTGCTCTTTCTTCGGAAGACGAGGAATGTGGTGTTTACCATTATAGACAATGTGTGTACCGGTGGAGAAGAGGTCATCCCGATCACCCTCACCCGAGACATGTAGAGAGACGGGGGATTACGAGCGGAGAGAAAAGAAACCTTTATGCCGGGTGCCTCCTAGGTATTAAAGCATTCTCTCAACAATCTGCCAATGATCAACAGCAGGGATCATTCATGTATCGAGAGAGACGATCTTATAGCCTGAACCATCGGTTAGTGGATCGCCTGAGCTAAGTGCGGACCATGTGGTTGAAGCCGAGCCCTGATCGGTTTTACCTCAACCATGTCAACTCGGTACAAAAGATCGATGATAGCTACCGAGGAAATAAGTAAGATCATCAAAGTAGACTCGACGGGAAAAACAGGATTGAACTTGCTCGTGATAGCCTAACCAGTCTCTCATCATGCCGAACCACAGAAGATGCAGGCTGGGAATTGGGATTTGGTATTAGATAATCTATTCAACATCCTAAAATTATAAGACGTCCACTGTCTGAAAGACAAAACACAATGCTGACAAGAAGGAAAACTTACAACAAGTGGCTGTTGCAAAAACCTTTTGCCCCTAGAGGCTTTTATCGAGGGCAAGAGACTCCCGTCACAGATCCATCTTCTCCGCGGTTGAACAGAAGCAGCAAACCACGGGCACGGATGAGCAGAAAACTCGTACCGAGCCTTCGGATTCACTGGCGATATAGACGCGGATTTGCTTCCGCGAGTCCACCCCTCAATCCTGAAAACATCCAGAACCAGCAACAATGCAGCGATTTTCAATATTCAGGAGAACGCCGCCAGAGACAGACGAGAAATGTACTACAGTTCAGATGCCAAAGAATCAGAGCTTTTGTTTCAGGATTTGACCTTACCAATCTGTAGAGGAGGGAAAGGATTTTGCTTCTCGATCCACAAACTCAACCTAACCATTTGGATTTGTCTACTGAATACACTCCAGAAGCATTTGGGAATGGATTCTTTAATTTCAGAAGAAGAATGTGTTGTTTAACCCAACCATAAACGATTGGTTCATGAAGAAAAAAACTGGATCGGATTCCATCCGTTTGGTATCTCTGCTTCTTGACCCGATTTCGTGTATATCTCGTTTCTCTCTCTGGGTAATTTTCCACCAGTTTGAAAAGAAAGCAAACCGCTTTTCAAAACCAAAGAAACACGATCGAATAGATTTTCTCGGAAGATCGAAATCTGTACGGTTACCTGGAAATGGCCGCAGCAGAGAAGATCGATTTGGGCGTTGTGAACTCATTAGTGATACTGAATCGACTTATACACACACTGTCAAGCTAGCCGTACATATACATACTACCTTCGATAGCAATCTTCATCTCTGTTCCTCCTCTGTGAAATCTCATAGCGAAAACGCTAGGGCAAGATTTTCCCGAGAAAACAGATAGAAGCACAAGGCTTTTTTACTCAAATGACCCACTTGTTCGCATGCAACACCGAAAAAAACAATTTTTTTTCAATTTTAACCCATTTTTCGTTGAAAAAGTACGAAATATCATTTTCTTTTTATTTTTTGCGACTTTATTACGACTAATATATAACTGATATACAACTAAAAAAAGATAGATAATTTTTTTTGTCTCCTTTTTTAAAATCAATTATAACTATATTTAGAATTAATTATGAAGTCGTAATAAGGAAGTTGTTTTCGAACGGATAAATATCGTGTATTCATTAAGGGTAATTTCGTCTTTTCAAAAAAAATTAATGTGTTATGTTTTTTGTGGTGTACGCGTGAAATAGCTGCGACCCAAATGGTTCATTTGAGTAAAAAACCCATCGCATAAACATGAAACGATGCCGTTTTATATTCCTTCCTGATTCAAAGGAGAAACTTGCACGGCCGTTTTATATTCCTTCCTGATTCACACGAGAAACTTGCACGGCGGACATATGAGCTCCAGTTTTTTTTGGTATAAATATGAGCTCCAGTTGTACAACAGTACACTCCTTTTTCATTAATACACAGATATGAATCTCTCTCTCTACTAAGAAACCGCCATGGTTGTGCCTTCACTGAACTCATCCCTTAAACCCACCATTATTACTCCAATTTTCTTCACTGAACCAAAAATAATATCCCTAAATCGCAACCCATTTAATCAAAGACCATGCTTTTCCAGGAATCCCAGCCACCATCTCCTCCGCCGCGTTGTCGCCGTGTCGAATGGCTCCACGATGACGGAGAGTGTCGGAGGCAGAGGAGGAGGAGAGGTTCTTCTGAGTCTGTCTCCGGAGGAGGAGAGAAATGTCGATGTGGCGGACTATGATTGGACGGAGGAGTGGTATACCCTTTGTACCTCACCCGAGATGTGCCGGACGACGCGCCGCTTGGCCTCACCGTGTTTGATCGGAAGATAGTTTTGTATGAAGACGCGACGAGACTTTACGTTGTTACGAAGATCGGTGCCCCCATCGGTGAGATTAACGAGAAAAAAAAAATATTCTTTTTATATGAATCTGGTCGCTGCTTGTTTTTGCGATTATGGGGATTTGTTGTTAGATGGAAAAGTTGCAAACTTCACCCTTTTTTGACATTGTTGCTGAATGGCGAAAAAACACGAATAACGTTTGTTTTGACATAGACTGGCTAAGCTGTCTGAAGGGCAGCTGGTTGATGGGAGGTTGGCATGTCTGTACCATGGCTGGCAATTCGAAGGAGATGGACAATGCGTCAAGATCCCTCAGGTTTTGTTCTCTTTCTTTATCATTTACCACTTGGGTTTTAGTTAAAGATCATCAGAAAGATCAAACTGATAACAGAGATATTGAAGGGTTTAACAGCTTCCGGCAAATGCCAAGATTCCAAAGGTGGCGTGTCTGAAGAGCTATGAAGTGTCGGAGTCGCAGGGAGTTGTGTGGGTATGGATGTCGAACAAAACGCCATCCAATCCCAAGAAGCTGCCATGGTTTGAGAATTTGGCAAGACCCGGCTTAATTTATGGACCTTTCGTCCACCCACGAGCTTCCCTATGACCATTCCATCCTTCTTGAGAATCTCATGGACCCAGCTCACGTACATCCCCATATCTCATAACCGACCAGACTTCACCGCAAAAAGGGAAGATGCCAGACCACTGGTCTTCGAAGTTACCGAGCGATCCAGCCGTGGTTTTGCCGGCAAATGGGGACGAGAAAAATACGGAACACTCCAGAATTATCTGAGAGGTTCGAAGGTCCATGTGTGTTGCAGAACAATTTGGAGTTCGTAGACAAGAACGGGGAGACACAATACTTTATCGATTTATTCCTGTGTAGACCAACTGGACAAGGGAAGTCTATGCTTATCGTCCGGTTTGGAGGGACGACGCGATCGGTTTTGGTCGAGCTGTTGGTTAAGCTGTTGCCTACTTGGTACTACCATCAGAAGGCTTGCAATGTTTACGAAGAGGATATGGGTTTTTTGTCGTCACAAACCAGATTCTTATCAAGGAAAATACCCCGACAAAAGAGTTGTATCTAAACCTACGATCTTCGGACACATGGGTTGCCGAATATAGAAAGTGGATGGACAGAGCCGGTCATGGGATGCCTTACCATTTCGGGCATGTGACCGTTTCTCCTCCCGAAGTTCCCGCCGCCATGGAGCACGCCCCGGCAGGCCTGGTCGCGGCCCTCTCGGCTTCTGGTCCAGCCAAAGGCGGGATAGGGACAATGCACGGTCCGAATCTTGCGAACCGGTATTTCAGACACGTGATCCATTGTAGGAGCTGCAGTGACGCGGTGAAGGCCCTCGGCCGGTGGAAAAACGCCCTCTTGGCCGTAGGGGCGGCTCTGACGGTGTCGGCTATTCCGACGATGAGTAGGCAATGGAAGATTTTTCTTTTAGCGGCGGTGGTTCTGTGTTCAGGTGGAGTTTATGCCTACACTGCGGCTGTAAGAATGGACACGACCAACCACATAAGCACACACACAAGAGAAAAATCGAAATCTGAATTGTACTGGAATGGAAATGCGGGGAAAATTGATCGATGCAGCAATTTTATGTTGAATAAAGAAGGGGTTATCAGTTAAGTGTGACAAAAAGATGTGGTGTTTTGCAAAATATGACAAAATAGTTATGACCTTTGCAAACTATATTTTTTTATAAATTTTTGACAAAATTACCCTTACTTTATTGTATAATTTCAATATTGCCATTTAGCGTCCCAAAAAATATGCAATATAAAAAGCAGATTTTTTTGGAAACCGTGTAATCCGGGAGAGCTGTTTTTCATCCCGGAGAGACTATTTTTATCCGGGAGAACTGTTTTTTGTCCGGGAGAACTGTTTTTCATCCAGGAGAGTTTGTCTTTTGTCCGGGAGAACTTTTTTTCGTCCGGGAGAGTCTGTTTTTTGTCCGGGAGAATCTTTTTTTTTTTTGTCCAGGAGAGTCTATTTTTTGTCCGGAGAAATTTTTTTGTTCGGGAGAGTTTGTTTTTATCCGAGAGAATCTTTTTTTTATCCGGGAGAACTGGTTTTTGTCCGGGATGATTGTTTTTTGTTCGGAAAAATCTGTTTTTCGTTCGGAAAAGTTTATTTTTTTGTCCGGAAGAATTGTTTTTTCCGAGAGAGTTGTTTTTCGTCCGGGAGTGTACGTTTTTTGTCCGAATAAAAAATAGTTCTCACGTATAAAAAAAATTGTTTTTTTATATAAAAAACATTTTTTCTCCTATGAAAACAATTTTCTAAAAAAAAAGTATTCTCCCAAACGAAAATAGATTTTTTCAGATAAAAAAATATTTTTTTTCGGATAAAAAAAAAGTCTTTCCCGAATGAAAAAATAATTTTTTCGGACGAAAAAAAGTTCTTCTTTATAAAAAAAATTATTTTTTTCGTATACAAAAACAGTTAAACCAAATAAAAACAGATTCTTACAGATAAAAAATAATTATTCCGGATGAAAAAAACAGTTTTTCGAGATAACACAGTTTCTGAATAAAATATATTTTTTATGCTGTAATTTTTTTGAATAATGGCAACATTGAAATTATACAATAAAGTAAAGGTATTTTTGTCAAAAAATTATAAAAAGGTATAGTTTGCAAAGGAAAGAAAAAAAAGTATAGATTTCTAATGACTTGACGTTTTTGGATACTGGTCCAAATTTTTCCAATAAATGGAATAAAGAAGGAATAGGGTTATTATGATCATATTGTTTTCGCCACTGCTTCCAAGAAAATATGCTATACATGTCGTTGGTCCATTTAGTAAAGAAAATAAAGACTGTTATTTCTTATTTCTTCACCACAACCAAAATCAATAATTATAATTAGTTCCATATTTCTTATCAACATTTTGTTGTTATTATATGTAAAAACAAGGCGCCAAAAGCGAGTACTGAAACTGATAATTACTTCACTCATTATGAGGTCGAGAATCAAAAGGAAGGTATCAACATCGGGAAGCGTATGGAATAGGGTAAAGTAATAACCTAATAAATATATATCTAAAATAAAAGAAAAAACTAATATAAATATTTAAATTTAATAAAATATGTAAAATAAATCTTTCATCTTTTAATTTTATTTAATTAATAGTCAAATATTTTAAATTGATATTTCAAATATTGAAATATTTTAAATAGATATTATAATCCATAAAATCTATCACAATTTTTAATTTTAACTCTAATGACGATGTATAAATTAAATGTTAATTTTTAATATAAAAATAAAATTCATGAAATCGAAAACAATTTTTAACTTTGATTATGACAATGATATATAAATTAGACGTTAATTCTAACATAAAAACGAATCAAATTTTAGAAATTATTCTCGATTTTACGAATTATAATATTCATTTGAAATATCTGAACAAAGTACCTATTAGGACTATTTTAATATTTATTGTATCAATTAGATAAAATTAAAATTCTAATTATTTATTTGATATATTTAATAAAATTCAGATATTTATACAGGATTTTCTAAAAAAACATAAAACGTAAATATATTTGTGTTGTGTTAATTTTTTTTTTTGCTTGCCCATGACACAACACAACACGAAACAATTATGTTAGTTTGTGTCTGTGATTCGATTCCTTTTGTTTTTATTTTAGACAAAAAGTGTGTGGCCTTGCCCACTCACCGATCCCAACGCCGTGACGATTACTCATCCAAGGTTTTCACACCACCACGCCGAAATTATTGCATTTATTATTGAAATATAAATCTTTTGTTTTTTAGGTTAGATATTATTTAAAAAAAATGGTTAAAAACTCATTTCTAAATTTTTCACAGATTTATTATAAAAACTTACAAAATCTATCATTATAATTTTTAAATTTACAAAATATATCATTTTAATTCCTTAACGAATTCAAGATTAACTTTGTCAAGGCTTTTTTTGCATCCATTAGCAACGTTTGAAAATTATTTAGTTGAAAATTTAAAAAATCATTTTTTTACTATTTTACAAATTCCTGGGATTTATCCATTTTTTATTATATATATAAATGTATTTTTTTTATTATCCATTTCGATAGTTTTTTTATTTTTTTTAGTTTGGAAAAAATTGTAGGTATGATTTCAGATTTCGTTTTATAAAAAAAATCTTTTATTTTCTTAAAACAATTTCGATATAACCAAATGTAGATATGAGATATTTGTTCAAATGGTTATGTCGGAATTGTTTTTAAAAAAATAAAAGTTTTATGATAAACAAAATTATTGGAGGTATTAACGATATTTCCATTAAAATTTTATGTTTTTTATGAAAATTTTGTTTTTCAAAGTTGATGGGTTCATTGTCACGGAAAATTGGACCCGTCCATGCGTACAAAGATAGCAGAAAAGATGTTTACCACGTATTTAAATTTTAATTACCAATCATATAGAATCATAAAAATATATTAAAGAACGGTAATATTATATCTAATAATATATAATATTTCGTGTACATCTTTAATACAAATATTTTATATATTTTGGATATACAAATACCGTATATATCTTTAATGTTTATATTTGATTATTTTTAGATTTATTTTCGCGATCTTGTAGAATATATATAATTCGATTTGTATTGATGTTTATGGTTGGCATGTTCTAGTCACTTGCTTTTTATGAATAAAATATTTATTTTTATAAAATAAGTTTTGGTATATATTTAAAAAATATATATTTTCTTTTAGTTTTAGAAGAAATAGTTTTGTTTCGGTTTAAAACCAAAATATTCACATTGTACATTGTACAAAGCACAGAATCTTTAGGCATATATACATGAACAACATTCTAATTTTTTTGTAACAGTAAATTTTAATTAAATCCATAAACCAAGAATGAAATTATAAAAAAAAACGTACAAGATAAAATAAGTCACCCACATCGATGAATTGTTTAATTTCTCATCTGTACGATATCCAAATTACAATGGAAGAACAAAACGTGTCGGAGATCGATCCAAATATCTGTCTCTGACCTCGTGATTCGTGTAATTACTAAATACATCAATCATACCTGAAGGTCAGATTATATTCAAATTTCAAATCCCTGCGCGTATCCAAAAACTTCCCTGTTCAGATTTCGAATTCAAATTTCAAATCCCGGCACAGCGTCTTCGCGACCTTCTTCGTCTCGATTGCAGATCTGAAGAACTCGTCGACCTCGTCGCGATGCGCGATATCGAAGAATTCAAACTCCGCTAGCTTCCTCTTGCAGGGAATCACCGGTCCTTTACGCTTCCTCGGCGCCGGCGGACACGTCAGTATCGCCGGGATCTTGTGCTCCGCTGCCGTCGGCGTGCGGCACCCGCCGTCTTCGTCGTCGTCCTCGGCGGGTTTCCTCGGCCGTCGGATCGCGAGGTCGTTGATGGATTTCAGAATTGATCGCGAGGTCGTTGATGGATTTCAGAATTCGGATCTTCGGGAAATCCTGCGAGAAATCGAGATCCGCGGACATCTTCGTCGATTGATCTCACCTGGATTGTTTTGTAGACGAGGGAGGAATCGGGTTTATAGATCGATGAAGAAGGGGGAGGAGAAAAAAGAGAAGACCGAGGCGTACAAGGCAAGGTAACCGAAAGAGCTCAAGATAAAGGAAAAACAAATGGATCGATTTGGAAGAACAATAATTAACAAAGGCTTTATGTTGAAGCTTTTCGAAGATTTTGCTTTTTCAATTAAAAAAAAAAACCGTAGAGAAAATGATACGTTTAAAAAATGTAAAAAGAAAAACAAATGTTAAACTTACTAAATTATTTTAATACTCATATTCTTATTTACATCTTAACATTTCCAATTTTCTCTAAATATATTTTATTATATAAATTCCTCATCGGTAAATATTGAATAATAAAAATATACATACTAATATTTTAGATCTGATACATGAACGTGAGGACGTGACACGCTAAGAAAAATTAATAACATTTTTAGTACATTATTATCTTCAATTTTGTTGATAACGAATCTGTTGACACATTTTCTGTTTGGTGTATATATATATATATATTCAGAAACAACAAAAATTTAGTATTAAAATACATTTCGAAGAAATTTGGGTACTAAAACACGTAAAAAAAAAAAAACCTCAGGTATCAAAAGCTGTTATTGTCGCTATATTTTAGATACAATTTCACAATTCAAATTTATTAGGCTGTTTATTAAAATAACCAATAGAAAACCACTCATGAGCCCATATTATTATATATAAGTGCTCATAGCTGTGCCAACGTTGAGATGTCGATGGGATAAATGTCGGACGGAGAGCGTGAACGGTACAAACGCTGAGCCACGATCCTGATCGTGGCCTCGGTCGGGTGATACGAGTCCCAGAACACGAACTCGTTCCGGTTCGGACACGATCTCTCTCCCGGCATACACATCATCGCACCATGGTTCCTCCCCCCACCGCAACATGCTTCCTTTGTTACTTTGAACCCTAGAAATAACGTCATATTTCGAATATATAAATATATATATATAAATTATGATCCGTATCAATTTTCCGAACTCTCGAACTTGACTTGTTCCCCTTTGCTCGCGCTCGTGTCAATGCCCTTAAAATGTCCTCATCATAAGATATAAAACATTCAATCTAATCTGATGGGTTTGGATCACGTACCGTATGCGGAGGAGTTGTTGAGCAGGTCTTGAAAAATGTCATAAGTATTACCGTAGACGAATTTGGCGTGGGAGAAATGGTTATTAAGCCGATCGATGAGAGATTTGAGCTTGTCGTTGAAAACGCCGATCACCGAGTTGAACGATCTAACGCATGTTTTACCGTCGGGGCTGGCCCGAGCCAATGCATTAGGGGCGCAGCCGGTGGTTCCCAGTCCGCTCAACAAAAATTTTCTTGCGCCATAGTTGTACAGCAACTGACCAAACTCGAAAATATGCGTACATCATGTCCAAGGAACGGTAGATTTTTATCGACCGAAAACATGTACAATCAAAGATATGAAGTGGATCAAGCCAATTTCATAAAGTCTTTGATACTATAAGATACTTCCGGGGGGGGGGGGGGGGACACATACGTTGAGTTGTTGACCGTACAGATCGATAAGGCCATCGGCGTACTGCTCGGGAGTGTAGAGTCTGCTCGTCGGGTATGCGTCAGGCATGAAATAGTTGTTGATATAGTCGTTGCTTCCTATCGTGATCGAATAGATGCATTTCTTGAGATGATTAGCCGCGGCCTCCTCGCCCCCGATCAGATCCACCACTAGTGACACTACCTTCTTGTGATTCTGCACTTGCCTTCCAAAGGTTATCCTCTCTCCCTGCATTCAAATATTCGATTTTTCTCGAGATAAACGCGATCATTCATACAAGTGGGTATGTGTATATATGGAAGTGAAGTTTGTAAGTTTTGTGTCGGGTAATATATATATATATCGACTGCAAGTACCAGTTGTTGTCCGGATTCTTCTCTGATTCCCGCTGACCCGGAAGCGTAGTTCAATCCGCTTAGCATTTCTTCGCCCTTTGCTTCGCTGTAAGGAGGAATGTAGTGACCGAATCCCAGGAGTTCAGCTTCATACATAAGATCAAGGACAACGTGCGAGAACGTGTTAGATATATATATAGAAATGTATATATATGACTTCATATATAGTTCATATACATATCCACTTGATTTAATGGATGTGCCACAAATTTATTTACAAAGCTAATTGGATGGGTTTGATCCTCTTGTGTATGTACTCTTAAAGAAATCATGGGTTCGGGTCACGTAATCTCTCTTGGCCATTTTTTTAGGTCAAGTTATACAACATAGAATGACTAAAATATATAGTTATTGGGCATATTGAATTTTTATCCATGTATATTGTCAAGAGATACATCTAGTCCCAAAATTGTAAGAAAAATCTTGATCCAAGTATTGAAATAGGAAAATAAATATGTGATTGAAGGAAATATTGATTTTAAGATATGATTAGAAATAATAATGGACATAATATTATATCAAATATTGTGTATCGATCTTATTTATTTCTATTTCCTTTTTATTTGTCTCATAGTTTTCCTATAAATATGTGAGTCATTTTCATTGTAATTCAATAAGAAGAAGAAGAGATGTAGCAATAAAAGTAATTCCGTTCTTTTCTATTTGTCTTATTTTGTTTCCGCATTTTATTTTTCTACACCAAGTTCGTTTGATGACAAAAAAATATAAAAAATAATCCAAACTTGGTTAATTAAACCGGTGAAATGAGGATGCTTAGCATGTGTTCCATTTCGTGTTCAAATTCTCAGATTTGGGGAAGACCATTCATATAGAATTTTTTCACTTCTGGAATTAGCCGAAACTTCGACTAACTTCGACTCAGGATATCCAATTACAAAATAAAATATATAAAAAAGTTATATGATGATGCATCCGACGATAAAAACAATCGATAACTAGATAAAACGTCTAATGCATATACCGAGTTCAAACGATCATCTACTACGAAGCCTGTCCCTCGGGCCGTCAAGTCTAGACACAGGAAAGAAATGTCGGAAAGATCGATGAATGAGTTGTGGAGAAAGCAGCTTACCCATAAAATCGACGAAGTTTTTACCGTTGGAGAACCGGCCGGTCGGGCCTCCCGGGAAATCAATCCCGTAGGGTAAATAATTAGCCCTTGCGAGAGTAGGAAGACGATTGTTGTTTCCATTGTCGGACAAAGAGTCTCCAAATGCGAACAGACACGGAACTTGTGATGTTCCATTTACCCTGATGCCTAACATCACTCCCAACATCAATCCCACGAATTGAAATTTCCTCAAGTAACCTTTCATGTTACAAAATCAAAGCCCTAATTAGTGAAAACAACGGTGAATGTGAAGAAATCTAAAGCTGTGTTTATGTTTATTTATACGTACATTAGGAAGATGGTGGGGAGAGTGTTTGCTTCGTTTTCCATGTGTTAATTTTGTTTGTGCCACGTGTTTTTTAATATCGGGTGGACCTATTCTAGAAAGTTGCATTAACAATTGTTTAGAAACACGAAAGTATAAAATAAATTTAAACAAATTTTACAAGAACTATATAATATAGCAAATATATTGGTTATATGATTATGGTTCAAAACTAAAATGATATAGATGTGTTCGACATGACCTCAAAATTTATGGATCTTTTTATATATGGCTAGTCAGGGTCGGACCCAATTACATATTAAAATTTTAAAGAAATCATTAAATGCCCCCATGATAAATGTTCCATAAAAAAACCATTGTCCCCAATTAAAAATGTTTCTATCATTTACTTCTGAAATTTTTATCAAAAAATTGATCTACAAAAATTCAGATGGATTAAATCATGCTTTTGTGTTTTTAGATGTGTTAAAATATAATTATGCATGAAATTCAAGGGTTGACGTAGATAATTCAATATATTCGTCCATTAACCAGATCCGAGATTCAAATCTTACCGTGGAAATGGAATATATTTTTGAAATTAGACGAATGAAGATTAGTTTGGATGTATAAGATTTAGAAACATCGATTCATTTTTTAAAGTTATATCTGGTGATCTATAAAAAAAATTGATTATGCATGTGTTCAAATGGTTAGTTATAATCCTGACATAATTGTAGCATGGCATTCTTCATATGTTTAACGTGATGACATTATTGATTTAATTTGCAGCTTCGTATCTAACCCCCAAATTAATTTACCCTTCAAAGCCTTGCGCAAATAAAGTTTTTTTTTTTTTAAGTTTATTAAATTTTTTCCAATAAAAATAGCTTCTTTTTTTTCTTCTCACGTAAAAAACACAATAATTTTTATATTTCTGGATAGGAATTACTTCAAGGATTTAGGACAAACAATATATTGATATCTCAAAAGATTTGGTATTTCGGACAAAAACCAATTGAAAGTGTACGTTGAGAATATCTAGAATGCTACTACCTTTTTATTAGTCAATTGCGTTAGGTTTACATTAATTAAGTTGAAATTGTACTTTGGGTACTGTTTTGTTTCTGTTTAAATAAAATTTGGTCCAAGTTGACTTTTGAATCATTGATCAAACAAATTATAGCACATCCCAAATATTATACAAAATTAATTTATAATATATTTTTAAAATTTACGAAAATCTAGTTTTTATGTAAAAAAAGCAAAATCAGAATATTTATAATAAAAATCTAGATATTAAGATAAAAAGTTTTAACTAATAATATAATTATTATTAGATATGAATAGTTATAGCCACGATAAGTAAATACTTGGTTCTGCTGTCTTGTATATCCAAGCAACAAGCTCGAATTTGCGTAAGGTGTGTGTGTGGTCCAAGATTTAGCACTCTACTATGGTAGGAGGAGAAAATTCACGGCTCGGGTAATTCCAAGATTTCGGGTATCCGCGGGAGAGATATCCATGAACCCCGTGGTTTCTCGGGTAGCCCTATCTCTCCCCCTCCGCCCCTCTCCCATTTTATTTGAACTCTTGCAGCCGTAAATGCCTCACCGCCGTCACTCCTACCTTGAAATATGTTGCGGATCCAACGGGTACCGAATATTTTTCATGTACTTAGAAACCACGGGTTTGAACTATCTAAAATCCGTAGTATCCAGATTCGAATCTAGATATCCGACCAATGCCGACTCCTATTCAGAGGTACTCTATATTTTCCATTTTGGAGAAGTATCGCAAAGAAAGGAAAATAAAGCAAGCGACCGTACCTCAACGTTTTATAGGGTGCCATTTATTAGAGTTAAACATTTCAAGAAACATAGGAGGTACTAAAAAGAGTTGCTTGTATCACACCATATGTATGTATATATATGTGTGTATATGTGTGTGACCCATCAACAATAGAGTGAAACGAGATAAGTCAAGCTGCTGCTACGGCAGGTTCGGTGGTCGGCTCAGTCTTGCCATCGACGGGTGCGGTCTCCGTCTCGGCTTCAACAGGCTTTGGCTGCTCAGCCTCTGCTTCTTCCGCAGGCCAGAAAGCGGTCGGCTTCCCCGTCTTCGAAACCGTCTCGAGAACCGCTCCTGGCTCGACGTTTCCGTTCACCGTCACCTTCTGCTCCTTGAGGTTGATGTCGAATGATTCCACTCCTAAGCATCATTCAATTCTTCATAAATATTTTCGTCTAATTAAACATACACTATACACCAAAATATCTCGTTCGAATTATATATATCGAATGTCTGAAAAATAAAGTTTCTGAAACCGAAACATCAAGACAACATAAGCAGACATATAAATCTGGTCCAAAGGCATATCGAGCCGCTTGAATAGAACCCGAAAACGTTAGAAGCATACCTTCCATTTTCCCGAGAACTCTATTCACCGCACCGACGCAGCCTTGGCATGACATACCGACCTTTAGCACAACGGTCTGCGGTTCATGTAGGCCACAGGTTACAGATTAATCCAAATGTCGGAATCATCATTGATTAATCCACAAATTAATCCACAATAAACTCGGTAATGGAAACTGTAACGAAAATTCTGCACCCATCGATGCCTACACCATTGCTTATACCCAAAAACACCGGTTAACGGCTCTATAAACTTTTTTTTTGGTAACCGGGTGTCATGGGGCGAGGCCAAGACTAACTTCGGGGTTGGAAGCATGTGACTGAAATTACGCCTTCCCCCCTCTTCGATTTGAGGCTCTACAAACTTATCAAACTAAGTACTAACCGATCAAAAACCCTGAAAGCAACTCTATATGATCCAATCTATAGGTGACCAGGGAACCATTAGAACATTATCATATGACATAAATTCTTCTAAACAAAATACATATATACACAAAAAACGCATGAAAGGGTCGTTTATATTCCACAAAAATAGATCAAAAAAAGAAAAGAGAGAGAGAGAGAACCTTAGACATGATCGCAGATGAAGAAGCTTTAATTTCCTTAGTGGACAAGTGATTAATTCTCGAGTTGTATGAAGGAGGAGGTGATGTCTCTTCCTCTTTATAGGGAAGGGGGCAGATGAAAATGGGGGTGGAGCACGCTCGATCATGACCCTAATAGTTAGCGTAACGCAAACGATAAGAGCATCTATTCTTTCTCTCTTTTTCTTTTTTTTTTTTTGAAAAAAAAATAGTTTTTATGTCTTTTTCTTACCTTTTTTAATCTATAAAGTTCTATATATTATTTCAAATAATTTATTTGGGTGTGTGACGTTTTCTGTTAAATAGAATGTGAGTGTATGTACAGATTTTTCGCTTTGTCGAATGTTTTGAATTTTGATGGTTTTCTAACTAATATAAGAACATAACTTAGCCTGAAATATAATATTCACATTACATCATTTCTATCTAAAATAAAGTTGTATTAAATAAATAAAATTAATGGATAAGTTAATTTATAATCCACCCATCCTTCCAAAAAGAAAAAAAAATACATATGAAAATAAGTCTTTTACCCCCAAAAAATAAAGGAAGACCCAACATATCGTGGACGAGTGGTCAAGTTTGGGTAGAAGGTAATTCTACCTCGAGGTTGAGTGTTCGATTCCTGGTTAGTGGGGAATATTTTCAGAGTATATAACCGATGACCCCGACGATGGCCTTTTTAAAACGGTTTCAACATAAGATTTTGAATTCATTTCTATTATATTAGTCGGCAAAATTTGTTTTCTACCAATTTCGAAAGGTAGATTTTTTAAGTGTTTGAAATTCATTAAACGACATATATCTATCTATCGTATTATTTTATTTAGTACATATTTATATTTTGTATACAACTACTAACAAATTTTTGAAAAGGGTCGCATTTGGTATAACCTAAAGTGGAAAAACATCCAATTTTTTTTTGGTAATATTCAAAAACCAAATTTCCACCAAACATCATTGTTCTTCTACCCACCGTAACCCTTTTTTTTGTTAGTGTACTGCAAAACTTTGGATCTTGTACTACACATTGCCTAATATGCAGTACCATGTACATAAATATTCCCTCATGCCACTTTTTTAAATCTCTATTTAGAACGTGATTTCCATAACAAGCTAATATACTTTAGGGGATCGTATTGTTGCTAATATATTTTGTTGTATATTATTATAATGAAAACGAATGATGCGGTTGTTCTACGACTTTACTAACTCTTATAAAAGATAATAATTCTACATCCAAATTATATGTGTATTTAATCATTTGGTGATAGTGCCACTAATTTAAGGGTTTTTTTTTTAACTAATTTGTGTTGAGGATGGGAGAATATTTATAATATATTGATATGAGCTAATCATAGGATCTTTATAGATTTTGTATAGGTTATTAAAAACCCTAAATACAGACATTTACGATACTATTTCCATATCATCCCTACTATATAAAATGAAACTAATCTTGATAAATAAAGACTTGAATAGGCACATTGGTGGTGAAAGATGTGAGAAGATAAACAAGTTGAATGGTAAAAGTTACATAACTAGATGGTGATCCAATATTTGAGAGGTGATAAAATCATTTAAAGATTATGCATTCGATCCCATTAATTGGGAGGAGGGACACAATTAATTTTGTGATTAAAAACTGATTTCGGATGCACGAGATTAAGTGGACCGAAGGTCTAATGAACCTATTGATTATAAAAAAGAAAGTGACATAACAAAAGATGAAGCTTACCCGACAACATCTTGCCATGAACACTATGATGGCTCTAATATTGTCGTAATAAATGATTGGAACAGGTTTTGTAAGAAGGTTGGCAACCCATCCAAGTTTCGGATACCCGTGGATAAGACAAGGATGAGATAACGAGGGAGAGCGAAGAGACGCATACAAGAGAGAAGGCAAGGCAAAGCAGCAATACAATGGAAGAGGCGAGGACCGAACGAGGCGCAACGATACATACGACCAAGGCATACTCAGATACAAGCGGATTATCCATCATCTGTGATCCACAAAACCCGAATTTGAACCCAACCGGTGCGGTAATACACCCGGTCACATACTGTTGCGTCACGGCACGAATACCCGTATGTTTGATGGGACCAAATATATATGACACAAAAGCAATCACCAAAAGTCACGTGGTGGAGAGTTCGATCCCTCCTGGTGTCAAGCTTCCCCCTGAATCGGTCAGCTTCGGCTGGTTTACCTACTCCGCGTGGTTTACAGGCTATTGCGTGGAGTCGTTGGGTTTATCGTCCGCGATACTGTGTCATTCGTCCGGCCTTTTGGACGGCGAGGCGTTGCGGTATCCGAGGGCGGATTCCCAGCGTTATCAAAAAAAAAAAAGCCCCAAAATGGCAACTACTACTGCTACTACATCATGTCTCTAAATGAACACAACAAAAGTCAGCAACTCCAAACGGAAAAATGTTTCTCAACAAATTGTACACATAAAGTACCAGAAAACACAGAAAAATAAAAACGCCAGACTTTCTTGTGGATGGACCGACCATCTCTCTAAACCACAAATGGCTACAATCCAAAATCAGCAGAAACTGATGCCTTTGATTCATCTTTCATTTTCATTTTCAGTCATCTCTCTGAACCTCGCAACTGCCTTCTTATGGATCAGAGTTTTGTAACTATCACCAGCTTGAACTTCGAGGGTTGGATCCACAACTTTCTTCTGTTGGCTCCCGAGTCCCGCCCTTCTATCCACCGCCTGCGCTTGCACGGGTTCTGTCATTCCACTCCCATCTTTTCCTAGTCCCTAACGTATTCCAACCAACCGCCGGAAATCCCGACACATGAGAGGGCATAAAGAAATATGTGAGAATTAAATTGGTAACCTCTCAGGAATACGATAATTTTACAAAAACATAACAATAGAGAAGAGGGAGATGTTGTTACCGATCCTTCATGCCAACCCATGTTCCTGAGCATCCGGTTACCGACGTTGCTCTCATCTATTGCTCTCTCTGCTGTGATCACATCATAGCTCTGAACATCTGCTGAAGTCCGGTGACCTCCGCCAACTCCCGGAGGGAAAGGCGTTGGATCCAGCGAACCCTTTCTCAACCCAAAATCTCGATCTTCAAAGATCACCAATACGCGATTTCCCGAAAAAATTAATAAAATTTCCAAGCAAGATAAGCAAAGTACAGTCTTCATTCTGGATTATTCAAGAACTTATTTATCATCGATCTACAATAAATATCAGTGGACAAGTAAAGCACCTCAAATATTTGACATGATAATTTCTTACAGAAATAGATGGAAACAGTAAAGTAGTCACAGGAGCTTACGTGAATCACTAGCGGCGTCTAAAAGATCATCATCTCCAATTGAAGTTGAACCATACAAGTTTCTTCTCTCAGCAGCACGATCCCGGTACAATGACTGTGGTTGATCTCTCTGAGTAGAAGCAGGTGTTGGCATTTCAGAAAACCTTCTCCTCCCACTCCCAGAAGCCGAAGGTGCTGTATAAGAACCAAGAGCAGAAACATCTGTTTTGAAAGGAGTCATAACAGACGATGCCTCTGCACGAGCTAATGAAGATGAGCCTACACTACTTGCGACTCCGGTTGTCGAATCCAACTTCACCACACCTCTGAGAGAACCTCTTAGAACCCCTGTCAAAGGGCCAGCTGTGCTGTTACTTGATGTTTGGGTTGTAGAAAGTGTAAACGCAGAATTGGTGGCAGTGTTTTCCTTAGTCATTGCATCGGACTTTGGCTTGCCTTTGAATTGTCCAACAGAGAGACGCCTTTCTTCAGGAGGTACATTAGGTACACTGTCATCAAGAGCTATCCGCTGTGTTTGTGTTTCGTGGCTTCTCTGCTTCCATGTTGTTAAAATGTTACTCATCTTCTTCTTATTTGCCAGTATGATGCTCTTTGAAGCAAGCTTTATCTCCTTAGCTTTCTCTTTTTCTTTCTTCTCAGCTGCCATTGCCGCTTCTGCAGCAGCTTGAACTGCATCTGGTATGGAAGTAGCCGCTGGGGCAGAGATAATAACCTTTTTGTTATTGGATCTCTCCATCTTAGCAGATTCTGTCTGTCTATCAGATGGTTTACTCTCATTAGTCTGATCAGGACAAGGGATATACTGCTGTGTTTGATGGTCATATGAGTACCAAACCGCGCTGTTGCTGTCATAATACAAACCTGCGTATTTTTAGGGATGCAATATATTAGCAGTACGCCATTAATTACTCCAGCTACACTACCTTTCGGCCCCTTACTAGGTAGAGAGGCTGCTAGTCACGATAAACATTAACCTATCAACATCATCAACATCGTCCTAAGCTCAAGTTTATTTGGGGTCAGCCGCATGAATTCTCCGTTTCCACTCATTTCGATTTTGCGTTAAATCTTCTAGGATTTGTAACAACTCCAAGTCGTTGCTAACTACTCGTTCCTAAGTTAGTCTAGGTCTACCCTCCCTCTCCCTCTCCTCGCTCCCATTCCTGTGCTCTCTACTTTTCTAACCGGAATATCTATCGTTCTACGTTTTACATTACGTTTAACCTATCCAAACCACCTTAAACACTCTTCTGTAGTTACTAATACTCTCATTTCAAATTCTATCCATCCTTGTGTATTTGCACATTCATTGCAACATCCTCATCTCGATCACATTCATTTTGAACATGTGTTGTCTTTTCGCCGCCCAACCCTCACTACCACACATCAATCCAGGTCTTATGGCATTACGGTAGAATTTTTCTTTCAACCGTATGAAGACCTTACAATCGCAAAGAACACCCATGTTTTGTCTCCATTTCATCCATCCCGCTTTTGTCCTATGACTAACATCTTCGTCATAACCTCCATTCTTTTGAGGGATTGAACCAAGATATTTAAAATGTGGGTTTTGAGGTACTGGCCCTACTTGCAAATTAACTCCTACATCTCTAATAGGTTTATAACATTAACCTATATACCATACAAATTTGCGCTAGCTACATTAGTTCTAAAAATAACTAACCTGTGGAATATCAGAAACAAAGAAGCCAAAAACATTCAACATAAATCCTACTGAAATTTGAAGACTAAACAACTAGTACAACCACAATACTTAAAAAAGACATATTAGAAGAATAGCTCATGCATCACGCTATCCTGCTTATGGACATCTAAAGTAATTCAACATAAAACACTAGTAAAACCCAGATGAAGTATTGCAGGACTTGCAGAGGGAATAGAATATATCAGAGAGAACCTTATGTTACACGCATGATGCAGCAAGACATCACCTAATGTAATTTGAACAAGAGCTGAAGGGAAAATAATTTATCTATAACCAACTGTGAAAGGCTTGTTTAATCAGTCCAATGAACACATCTTTGCCAAAAGAGTTCTGTCAAAACCCCAGTTTTCACGGCACTACACTATTGAACCTATTCATGTTCCAATCTTTCACTCAAAAGGAATTAGGAATATCAACAGCACCAATGATAGGAGATTGTAACTATACAAGCAATTTGAATATATATTATTATACAAGGAAAGACAAACCTGAATTCCCATCATAGTAAAATCCGGAAGCAGCATCGTAGTAATAACCAGATGCTTCATCCCACACATAGCCAGAGTGTGGAGCAGAAGTTCCTTGCTGAGCTTCAACTTCTCCAACCCCTTGATTCTGCCCTGCAGTTTGTCTCGCGTCTGGATTATATTCCTTCGGAGCCCATCCAACAGCATCATACTGAAAGGGAAAGAAAAACTGGTTCACATAACAAAACTCCACAACTCACTTAATCAACGGGAAAACAAACAGCAAGTAAAAAAGAAAAGCTTTGTAGACAAATGAAAATGATGAGTAAAAGCTACTGATGATGCAGCAACACTCAAACTTGACCATAGGTTTCAAAGTAGAAACAATTCAGCCAAAGAGAGAAATGTATTATGCTTCCCACAAATGGCTCCGCTCTTCTGTTCCATTCACAATATACAAACAGCAAAATATAACTCCCATTACTCAGACAACAGATTACAGGAACAACGGTAAATAAGTCTGTACATGCGAAACTTATCATTTTCAAAGCAGTACCGTGGTAAATAGACCACCAAACATCAAAGCATTAGTACCAGGGTAAATACCACCAACCATCAGCAGACACAATTTAAAACCACTTAGTAAAGAATGAAAGAGAAACATCACCAGACATTAATAATGAAACAGAAATTAGTAACAAAACGTGCCAGATCACAATTCATTAAATTGCCAGGACTCCAATTCAGGTCAAACGATTCACAAAAGAATGTGCGTTACAACCTCTATAGAAATTGTGTTTGTGACTTTGTGTACCATCTTTGGTAGAGCTGCCACTGAATGCCAAAGAAAAACTACTGTCTGAACAAGTAAATACCTGTTGAGAAAATGCTGCTGCTTCAATTGCAGCAGCAGCGAGGCTGCTAGAGTGCAAAGGAGCTGAAGTACCAGCTGCAGAACCAAGTACGCTCTTTGCATATGCCACTCTTAGGACTTTTCCATTCCTCTCAAGAGTTGTCCCATTAGTTGCCTGGAGTGCCTTAGTTGCATCTTCCACCTACAGGAGCTTAGTCTTATCATTCTATTTGAAGCTGATAGCGGAATTGTCAAAACGTGTTAAGCCAACTTGTACAAAAGATAGCATCCAAAATAAACTAAGAATAAATATTAGAATAAATTAGGAGGAACCACTAGATCCCATTCCACAAGGAAGCCTGTTACTGAGGATATGCATATATAACATAGTTTAGAGAAACAAATCTAGGCTGCAAACATGCAAATAGCCTCAAGAAAAACTTCACAAGCCCAAGCAAAAAGAGTAGCTTGGGAAAAACAATGAATCACCGGAGAAGAAAATTTATCGGCCTAGGTACGAGAGGCTTCATTGCTTACTATTATTTCGCCTATGAACTTTGTTATGATAATATCTTCCTAAACTTTAGTTCTAAATTAAAGTGCCATTCTTTTGCAATCAATTTTCAGCAGCATAGGAGAGTGAATCAGGAAAGGAGAGTCAGAGAGGTATGGAGAAGGAGGTGGTGAGCATAACCACCCATTTGGCTGAAGGACCCTACCGAATGAAAGTGTACAAATGCAAATCCTCTTGAAACATGAGTGAACTTGTCTCTCACTAGACGAAGATCCTGCACATTGATGCAGAAGAGACAGGATTAAATGACACAGATGAAACAGATATTGATTGAGCATAAAGGTACCTTGATTGGAGCATGTTTAGAAAATTCATAACGAATCATTTCTTCATCAGCATTTTCATCCAAACCACGTACAACCAAGACATGAGTTGGACCTGAAAACAAAGAGGGAAGAGATGAAGCATAAAAATATGTATATGGCATGGATACAGGAACATATTTGATAAATTTAACATCTTTGACTGTTTTCGCCTCCAAAAAAGAACACACTACATATCCAAAATCGACAGTTGATAACAACCTGCCTCAGAACCTCGTTTTCCTAGTGTTGAGTTTGAAAAACCTACATCAGCTGGTGGAGCATCCTCTGTCTTTGGCTCATTACACTGCATAAGAAAGGTGCTATTAGACTCTTCTATGCTGTATGCACAACAAAAGGTATCTACAATATCATCAATGCACACAAGAGAAGTCTATCGTTTTTCAAGATATCAGCTGCAATGCAGAACAAATAAGGTTTAAATTACATTTAGAACCACAATGACTGACATTAAAGGTAAATCCGATAAACAAATTAAGTGAAAGGGAGAAAAAAAGAGAGACATGTAAATAGAGCATGGAAATCAAAATCGCAACAAGCAAAATCAGTTCAATAGAGTTATAACAAAGTGCATACATTTTTAACTTGTCACCTATTACCAAGCAAACAATATGATACAACAACAGCACTTCTATCTGACAATTATAACAATTAGAATGAATCTGGACCTGCATATTTTAAGGAGCAGAAGATAGATATTATCGGAAGTATTTCCTCATTCTTTTTAGCTTGTTATCAGTTTACCAATCATATATCTCTGTTTCTTACGAATCAACACTCATCCATGAAAAAAAGACAACAACGATCTTACTCAGCAGTCCCAATTCTGGCGGTTACACACACACACACACTTCATAAAATGGTTGTACTGTGACACAAGCATCCTGTTTATCGGAATTCCTTCATAATGATGCCCTAACCTGAAAGCACGATGTTCGCCGAGCAAAATTAATACAACCACAAATGGTACAGATCCAATCTGCAGGAATCATCACGCGTCTGCTACCACCGCGGCTGATATTAGGAGAATTTTCCTGTCCACGAGGTACATTCATACTCCCTGTAGGCTTGCTGCTGCAACATAAGGCAATTCAGCGGCAATAAATTTAGAACGCTAAATGGGTTTATCGGTAGAAAATTCGAAACTAACTTTTACTGGAGTTAACAATAGCCCCCCAGCAAAACAGTTTTTTCATTAGAATAGTCCAAACTTAGATCCAAGTTAACAAACAACACAAAGACCTGTAATGGAAAAATAGCTTCTTTCCATCCACAACTAGACCATCATGCCCAATCTTGTCCATCATTGCACGTGCAGCTTCCTGCTCAGGAATACACAAGAAATTAAACCACTGAACAGAATAAAACATAAAAGACAACCACAAATCATGTACAGATTAACCAAAGCAAGTACCACCGAAGCGAAATCAATAAATGCAACCCCACGGGAGATCCCAGAATTTCGCTCCCTAATCACACGCACATGATCCAAAGGGCCCCATTCAGCCTAGTCATACAGAATTAAACAAAGATCGTATTACAGAATGAATATGGGCATTTGTGATGACGTGCAAATACAGCAATTGCAAAGGAATTACAAGAATCTGATATAGATCCTCTTCTGTCGTTTTCATTGACAGGCCCTTCACAACAACAGTAGCTGACGGTGCCTGGCAAAAATGGGGGGAAATTAGAATGTAAACCGGAGAAGCTTCAGCACAAATTAATTAGCAAAAATATGGAAAAAGCCATGACATACAGCAGAAAAATGATCCCGGTAATGTCTATCTCCGCGTTCTCTTCGACTATCCCTTCTCTCATGCCAATGATCATCATCATAGCTGTCCTCACGATAACCACGCCCATGGCTCCAACCTCGAGGAGATCTTGATCTAGAGTACTCATCACCTCCACGAGACCAAGACCGAGACCGAGACCGAGATCGAGATGTCCCATTCCTATTATGTGGACTTTCATCTCTTTCATGGCTGAAATGTCTTTTTTCCCATTCTCGATCACGGGAATCACGACTCCTCCTGTTGGCATCCCTCTCACTGCCTCTTTCATAATCAGAATCATAACTCCGGCGAGCGTAATCATAATCCCTTTCATGGCTATCTTCCCTATTATGATGGTAATTTCGAGACCTATACTCGTAATGATAATCATCGCGACCACGGGTGCTGTATCTTGATGACTTTTCATATCCATGATCCCTATGGTTCCCGTCACGACTTCCCATTTCATCATCATGATAATTGTCAGTATGATATGATTCAATGTATGGCTTCTCATGCTTCCGTGATTCCCCGTCACGAGAATAATCCTCTTCATAGTTTCGCCTTCTAGACTGAGGCAAAGCACCCAAAGCATGATTTCCAGGTTGATAATCGTATACATTATCCCTCGAGAATCTTTCATCAGGATGTATATCATCATATGACCCACCACACCTGCACAAGCAATGTAGAATAGGAGGTATAGAAAAGATAGAAACCAAACAGGAAAAACAGAAAGAACAACTAGGAATAGACATTAGACATATCATCAAAGTCAAGACTCAGGAGTATTCGAGACCAGAGTGAAAACCAATGATAAGAAAATGAAACGTGAATCAAAAAATGGTCAAGACTAAAAAACGTAATTGCTTACTAGTTAATTCCTAAACGAAACAATTTCACCCATGATATGGTAAACCTCTTCAATACTGGCACTCACCGATAACTTGGATCATGGACAGCACCATACCCCTCTGGAGCCTGTGAATTCAAGAGAATAAGCTACGTCAGCAACAATATCATGATTGATATGACATTAGCCAAATTCCATCCACATCCTCACTGTCCACGTCTTTCGCTCATTTCCGAGGATGAGGTCCAGAAAAAATTGTCAATCACAAGACCCCTAACAATATCTTGTTTATCATCCCATATATGTGAAAGGAGGAAACCACAATTACGCTGTTATTATCCCATCCTTGCTGAAGACCATATCGACCGCGATCCATTTTCAGCCAGTGTACCAAGCAAACTCCTGATGGCTGGATAGAAGATTCAAAATGGAAATGCCAACAAACCCTTTCCTGTAATATATGCATAAACAGACAGAGTCATCCCACGATGAATAAAGAATTAACAGTTCCCATGACCATTCAGCATCCGATACACAACTGGAAGCCTCAAACATGCAACCCTTCCACAACGAGAAAAGCTTCTTTCAGGATTCCCTTAAGAAGACAGTTAAGAACATACACAGATTATTCATTAACGATTGAAAAAACTAAGACTCACCTAAAAATATTTAGCCAAACGAAAAGGATACGGAAAAATTATTAAACAAAACCCAGGACAAGTTAAAATACACAAAAACATGAGAAAACACACATGATTCAACTTTGGTTTCATGTGAAAGAAAGAAACATCAGGTCATATGGAAGAGAACAGAAAGACCCGATGCGCAAAAGCACATCATAGACTACAAACCACAGATGGTCGGCGAAAAGAGCATGATAGATTAATTAAACCCCGAACGCTTTCGTCGACACCAAGAACTACACCCGTAATTTGCTAAGAAAGCACAACAAATAGCTTAAAGCCAATGAAAATCCCCAACAATCAAAACCCAAAAACCCTAATTACACTGATCCAGACACAACGACTCGATTGGATACGCACCAAACACGAGCGAGTTGGTACGAAGTCGATTTGCAGCAAACCCTAGACCAGACTCGGGGTCAGGGGAGAAGAATTTCAGACTTTGCCCGTCCAGACAGAGCAGGCGATGAATGAATTTGCAATTTGCAACGAAAGAGCTCCGATCTGGTTGACCTTAAGCTCTGGCTCGATTCAAGGGAACGATAACGAACAGAAGCGTAAGCGTCTGAAACGAATGCCGATGCGGCTTGGGAGATTATTTTCTTAAAAGAAATAGTAAAAATAATCAGATCGTTTTCAGAATAAAAGTAGCCGAAAATTAAGAAAACTTTAATTCGATTTGGATAATTAAAATTCAAACTTTAATTTTGAAAAGAAAAATTGAATTCTAACGAGAAAATCCAATTAATATATAAACTAATACAAAATCACTAATAAGTACAAAAATCGTAAACCTGAATAAAATATGATTTTTTTCTCCAAATAAATAAATGAATCAAAATACAATGTTAGTATTTAACAAATAAGAGAAGCGATGTTTATATATTCGATTACGCATTTGGTTAGTCTCAATTATTATAATACAAGCACTTAATCTATTATCGCATTTTTTCTAAAACTAATATTTTTTATCGAAATTAATTACTTGTTCACGATATGGATTGGATTGTGCTCGTTCTACATACAAAATCCAACTATTAAAATGATATATATCAAATAATTATACATTTAAAGGACATTCTTTCTATAAACATCTCAATTATTGGATGCAAACTGATCATTTTATTGAAATTTACCGACATTACAGATTGATATTTTCGCATGTTACTTAATAATAAATATATTAATTGGTTTTTCAATCAAGATATTTTTTTACTAAAAAAATAAAATTTAGATATTAATCATCGAAATAGACCACGATTTAGGATTTGTTTCTTCTGTCATTCCCTTTAAAGCAAATTATTTTCCCAAAAAATAAAATAATCTTTCCAACAAAAGGCATGACGAAATGAAGGTTTTTCAAACTCGAGTTCGAAGTAGGAGCTGCAAGTGCAAACAGAAGACAGATACGACCATCTTCACATTCCATCGGTCATGTTTCTATCACTTAACATTTTTAAGAGTACCTAAAAAAACAAATCAGCCATACACACACGGTTCTTTGCTTACCGTAACTTCCATGCCATTGTTGCCATAAACCGTACAAGGCGTAGACCCTCCTCTGGCTCTCCTTCTGCAGAACAAAAGCTGAGATTAAAACACGTGATAAACGTGCGGACAAACTGAAAAAACACAGCGACAACAGCTCGCTACTCACCTTGTCTGATGTTCCCCAAGTGTTTTAATAAATCCAACCTAAATCAAAAGGTCAAACCATCCATCTTCTTTCGTCATCATCGTTTTTTGTTCTTCGTGTCGAAACTTGGTAGCTTCAATTGCCCATAGAGAATGGTATGAAGCTCTATCAAGAACCGAGCCGGGGGAAATGACATAGACACATCCATATGGATAAGGAGCCATGTCGCCTCTTCCCGCTCGGTTCTTTTGTGCCTGCAGTCTCCCACCAGCAGAGATGATAATGATGCCTTTGAAGTTGCCCGGCCAAACACATTTCTGAAATTGGCTAACTGCTGGTGGGATGCAGGCATGGCCCAAACCCCTTATCGGGGCCGGGGCAATCCATAACTACCATCAGACCGAGGTTGATGAGACTGCAAATAAGAACAAGGTAAAAGAGTCAGAAAGCAAAAGGTGAAATGCTTGAGTCAGTGGCAAGTATTTAAGGTATCAGTAGCTAAGTGCACAAAGATCTGTAGAAATATTGCAAACAAATATTTTGATTTATCAATTTATCCAACTCTTCTGTGAGATTCTTTGTCTTCTTCTTATCAGAAGACCATGCGTTTATATGGTTGGCAAAGCAGGGAGAAGTAGAATGCAGGATCTAAACTTCCAACTTGATGCTGCCTGAGTTTTTAGCTTAAATGATAACTCTATCACGAACCTAAACAAATCTCTGCCTAAATTTCAATGCCAAATTGCATTAATTAATTACCCAAAACCAGACACAATGATAAATTTTACTTCCAAATTCAAAGCAGTTAAAAACACACAAGTCACATTCCTTGTTCACCCCTTTTCTGACTAACTTAAGCTTAATACCATAAAAAAAAATGCATAAATTCTTGTCTCTTGTCAAACAAAAACATTTTTTGGGGGATACCTGAGCAAAAGGTTGGTGAACCTGATCACGAGGGTGAATATAAGGCATTCCAGGTTGCTGACAGGGGAACTGGGAAGAATGCAGATATAATGCAGAAGCAGAGCGAGCATCCATATGACTTGGAGTAAAAGGAGTCACCATTGGTTCTGGATGACCATATGCAACACCGCCAGTGTTCGATGGTCTAGCCCAAGGTGCAGGGAGGTGCTGTGGTAATGGTCTAGCTTGATGTTCTACAGGTATCTGAGGCCTATGAGCACACCCGAGCTGCGGAAATTCAGTGTTGTAATTCAAAGCTGGTGTAAACATTGGTTGAACAGCGTACACCCCATTGCTGAAGCCAAACCCCGGCTCAAAGCGCTGCAAATACCTGGCAGCAACAGCCCATTAAGATACAGAGTTTATGACAATGAGAAAGAACCAGCAACTGCTATTTTTTTCCCCTCAAGTTTGCCTAAGCCTAAACTTGCAAGAAAACATTTCAATCTTTCATCGGAATGATGCTATAAATTTTATAATTAAAGAACCAACCATAAGCCTCATAAATAGAAGCATACACTGTAAGATGACATAAACATTTTCAGAGGATAAAATATACCCAATTCTTTATTTCTATACGGATAAAAATGTTCACTAGTATCAGAAGATCCATAACAGAATTGCATCATAAACCATCAGACAACAAGGAACATAGAACATTTAGAACTTCGTAATGACCAGTAGCAGAAACAGGAAACAAATAAAAGCAAGAAGGATCCCACAAATTTTTCTTCCCTAGAAAACACAAAATAACTAGAAGCAACTGATTATAGAAAAAAGAATTTAAAAGGCCAAAAATAACCAGCAACTGGTAAACTGAATGATGGAACTTTTCAAAGCAACGTATATTTGGAAAAATATTTCTGACAGAAAACAAAAAAAAAATGAAATTCCCACCTGTCATAGCTCCTATCATAGTCAGGATCTTTAAGCTCTGTTTCACGGTCACGGAAGATGGCCACCCTGTTATTGGGTTTAGACCTAACAGTCGGTTCCTTCTCCACCCTACTTCTTGTGGTCTGGCTGCCACTGGCAGATGAATTGATAAAACTACCAGAAGAAGTTACATAAGAAGGGCCTGCATTGACTTTCCCTTCGACCCTTGATGGCCTAGGAGAATTGACATGGGATCCATTGTAGAGCTGATGCTCATTTTCTGGTCCTCGACCATGGCTAACAATTGAATTTGAGGAATTAAAAATTCTTGCTCGAGCTCGGTTATATTCCTCTTTTCTCTCCTCAACACTTTTGGATTTATTTGACTTAACTGTCTCTGAATCTGAGCTACTGACAACCGAAGAATGTTTTTGAGGCCTCTGTTTTATTGCGACCTTGATTACACTGCTGTCTTCCGAACGAAAATTCACAGGAATGTCTGCTAGGCGAATTGCAGGACGCCTACATTCAGAGGTCTTGTGTACAATAATTCTACAACCTGAACCTTCAGGTAAGCTGTTATCCAACAAAACCATCGACTGCAGATTGTAATGTTGTGCAATACGATGTGCTGCCAACCGTAGATATGATGTGGGTAGTTGCTGAAATTCCATTTGCTGTTGAGATTGATCATTAATGAACTTCTCAACCTCCTGCTCCATGCGCAAAACTGAGAAAAGATACCATTTATTAGCATCAGAGGCAGAGAGAACAAGTCACCACATATGATGTATCAGAGGCAGAGAGAACAAGTCACCATGTATAAAGTCGTATATCAAAGCTACAAGTTGCATATTGAAACAGACCAGAGAAAGATTCTACACCTCTGGAATTGGAAACTAAGGGTAGTCTTGTTTACCAACAGTCATCATATGAAGCAACCAGTTGGTAAAGTGTACTGACACTGCCGATGATGCAATTCATCTTTACCATATAAAAAGTAGAAAAGACAACATAATGACAACTCTACGGTTTAGAACCTTTAAATGTTCAAGAAACTAGACTTTCATCTAACATGAAGCTCCAATCATGGATCTGACACCATCTCAAAAGCCCAGTTGATTATTGTGGAACAACAGCAGAAGAATGATTTATTTTCAGATTAAAACATCTTTCAAGATTATCTGCTAGTCACCAAATTCCAGAAACAGACACAAGGAAGGCAAAGAGCTTCAATATACAAGCAAAAAGCTTTAAACTTACACTTCTACTAACCAAAACGAGAAATAAATAAGACCTGGTAATCGCTTGCAGAAGCACAGAGAGTCAACCAAATGTACGCAGAATCGTTTAAAACAGTAGTATATCAATCAGATTACAAACCCAAAAGTTAAGTAAGCGTGGGTCATATGATTACCCGAGAGACGCTCGCGAGGATTCTGAAGAGCCTCGCGAAGAAATTGATCGACCTGATTGATGGCGTCATCTAAAATCTTGTCCCCCGAAGACGATGACGAAGACGAAGAACCAGAGGTCTGAATCTGTGTAGGAAGCTCTGCTTCAGGTAGATCCCCCGTCCCAGCGGCATCGTTTGAGGGCGTCGACGAGAGCATCAATCGGCTCAACGCGGCGTCCAAATCAGCCGACTCCCACGACTCCGGCGGCCCGATATCCTCCGGAGAAGAGCCCGCCATGGAATTCAAGAAGCGGAGAAGGAGAGAGAAGAATGGGAGGAAGCAGGAATATCGAAGAGGGAAGCAAAGCGTCAGGGCAGATTACGTGGGTTGGGTTCCATGAATCGAAGTTTGGATTGCAAATTTCATAGGGATACGTGGGAGCTAGGGTTTGAGATTTCAAGATTGGGGAAAGGAAGGAAAGCGAAATCGCGAAAGTAGTCTTCCTCTAGTGGGTTACAGACGAGCGCCCGTCCGTGTGAGAATTTCTGACGGATCATTTGTTTTTCTTTCCCTTTTTTTTAATTGCGATGCATTTCTATTCTCATTTTTGTTGTTTTTGTGGTTTTTTTTCTTTACAAATAACACAATATATATATATATATATACCAACTTAGACAATTAATATAAGATTTAATCCCATAAAAAATTACATAATTTGTTTAGCGACAGAAAACTAATTTCTCAGCCTGGGATCTTGATCTTCCATAAAAATTACAAAAAAAAAAATTGTTACCGGAATACCTAAATTTATAAAACGATGTTAATGAAAAAGTTGACTCACGTTGACCACTAATACTCTGGTGTACGTGGACCGTCTTACCGGAAAGGCCACAAAAAAAAAACACATCGAAACCAAAACCTAATCCATTAAACCAAATCAAACCAAAATTTCGTATAGCTTTAGTAATTACTAAACTTATGCGGTTTCGGTTTTTTGGATTTTTAGAAAAATCATAACAATTGAACTTTTGTATCGGATTTGATTTTATTACGATTATACATGTTATTCGGTTAAGATTGGTTCAGTTATTCGGTTATAAAATTTAGAGGTTAAAATTTCAGTTAAGATTGATTCAAATATTCAGTTATAAAGTTTAGAGGTTAACATTTTGGTATTCAGTTGGAAAATAAAATGATTCGATTGATTGTACAAGAATATGTACCAATCAATTATTATATCATTTTCGGTCTGGTTTCTGTTCGCTAGTATTTTCTGTTTTTATTAATAAAATTTTAGATTTTTTAAATAATTTTTTGATTTTTAAAATTTTTTTAAAATTTTAATTTGATTCGACTAAAAAAAATCGGTTTTGTAAAAAAAATACTATTCACAAATACGGTTCGATTCGAAAATAATATCGTATCGAAATTCGATTCAGTACGGTACGATTGGATTGCGAAAAACTCTAGTTTCCAACACCTAATAAAGTTAACCCTACTGTCGTTAGAAAACCGTGACATGATTCCCGGCTTATGAAAAACATAGCTGCAGCATGCATTTCGTTTCTCCACATGAAACACAGAGACCAAAGTGTGTTCCTTTGATCAAAGTACTTAAATGTTACAGTTGCCAAATTGAGATGCCAATACACCTTTTGCCAAATTTCCGAGGAAGGTTTAAATCAGCAGACAGACAATTTGAATCACAACTAAAAATAAGACACAACAGAAACCGAATCGAGTCGATTTCTGCCCTGTTTCCGGGATGAAACGTACCCCGGGCTTTTAAATAGCGGAAGAATCAGAAGGCCGCGGGTTTGGTCCCGTTAATAGCTGGAACGCCGCCCCTCGTCGCCTTCACATACGAGACGTACTCGCTATAATGCATGGTGAATACCGTGCTCTGGTATCGGGTTAGATGGATACACTTGCACAGGGACTCCGTTATCTGACCGCTGTACCCCGCCTTACGAACCAGCGAATCTATCGCCTCTACCTTTGTCCAACCTGAAACCCGAGCCTAATTTGTTAGAAATGCAGACACGGAAAATTTCCCGAGTAGATCAGTAAATTTCACGAGTAGATCATAACTAGACAAAGACAAGGAACCAAGACAATGTCCTTTGCAGACATTCTTTTCTTCTACGTGAGGACTCAAACTGGCAGAACTTCCCTTAAAAGTTTATGCAAGAAGATTTCGACCGAAACAGATTACGTATCCACATCCTGTCCGAGAATCAGGCGAGAAATTTCTCCCACAAATAACACATATTCCATCATATGCAGATTAACTCAAGGGAATATTAAACAAGAAGAACATCATAAAAGAAAGAAATTCACCATGAAAGAGTAGCATCAAAGAACATGACCGAATAGCAAGCAAGCCCCAAAGAGATTTAATCAAAGTGAAAAAGAAGGAACTTGATGTATCGTATCGAAGTATATGTGCTATCTACCTTCATGAGCTGGTACCTCGGGCAAATATGTGGCACTTCGCCTTGTATTACGCTCAGGATCAGTAAACTCGATGATTATTCCATGCTTTCCAACCTTCAGTAAGATCACGAAATGGGGAAAAGTCGAAATACAAACCCGAAAAAAAAGGGAATTTGACCGATCAAAAGCAAACGTATTTTGGTGTTTCCAAATCCGTTGTCTCTTAGATTTGAAGAAAGAGCAAAGAAATTACCTCCCAATCAAGATAACCTTCTGCAGTTTCATAATCGGTGAGAACAGAGACCGTACATTCCAGAAATGGCAATTCTTTAGGTTGTATGGGCGGGAACCTACGATCCCTCAGGGCACTGCAAAATTCCACACAGAGAATGCATCTCACATCAACATCGGCCTCAAAACTAGATAATATATACACAGTTACCAACTATACAAAAACCATCACAAAAAACAGAAAAAGACAGATTAACTCTGGATACCTAGAGTGAAGTGGTAGATATAATAAACATGCAAAAGGTCGAGACCAAACCATTCAGTTTTTTCTCCTTTCCCTCCACACAAAAATTCATGCAATATAGTTTTTCCATCAGATCTATACAAAGCACAATGATAGCTGAAATACGTTCTAATCGGTTTCATCTTAGCGTGCACGAATTCCCTATGTAAAATATACTCTGATTTCGATGGTACATGCATTTCATTTGTAGGTGTCTTGGTTTACTCAATTGTTGCATAGCAAGTTGGAACATTTTGTGTGCTTTTTATTCGTACAAATCCTAATACTATTGCTCTTCTAATCCACGGAAAAGATCACAAGAATTTGAAGAAACATACAAAAACTCGGATAGAATCGCTCAAGGTTCCTGTTGCAGCGGTGATAAAAATCAGAAACCTAACTCAGTCAATGAGAAACACTAAAACACCGGCAAAAAGACACAAGGTCTCCTCATTCTTTACAATTAATTCAAATCTAGACAAATATGGTGCCAATCTTGACATTGAAACCCTTGTCCAATGCTCCCCTTCTTGTACTTTGTATTATCAGGAGTGAATAAGAAATGTAGAACAAATGCTCCAGAAAATATTCGAAAAACAGTGCACTAAAAATAAAAAGTGGAGTCTCTCAAAAAGATCGAAATTCTCCTTAATTAAATGAGAGCAAGTGTTCTAAAGAAAAATATAGTGGGATATAAGGCAATATAGTACCTGGTCAAGGCGTAATCCTTGAAGCCACTAATCAAGTGGCGAGCTTCCAATGTACCAATGCATCCCCGCAACCGAGGTTCTCCACCATTCACTATTTTCTTCCAGGTGACAAACAATGGACTTACAACAAAAATATGTGACATCAGCTCAGATCAGATGTGAAGTTCAAATAAATATTCACATAATGTGTATTCCAATATCACCTAACATCTAATCAAACTTTAAAACAAAGTACCATTACAAGAGTAAATCATTGCCTTTAAATCGTAAAGGATTAACATGCAGAATTTACAAGAATACGCTCATTACTAACAAAATATATAAAATAAAAAGGAGAAGAAGAAAACCAAGAAGTATGACTATACAAGCAGTTTAGAAGATAAGAAGGTAATGTGCTTACAAACATAGGAATGAATGCTGTATGCACAAAGGTTTGCCATATTATTTGAGGAGGAAACATTTGAAACTCTAACCAAGGCGTAAATAGAAAGATACATAATTTTTTAGGTTTCATTGGAATGTAGATATTGCTGAACCAAGTGCATGCATGTTGAAATCACCGGGATTACAAGGATTTGACTATAGACCTGAAGGAACTTTAGAAGCATCAAACATATCATTTAACGGATTAGCACATAGAAATCCGTTGGAAAGCCTAGAGTTTCCCCCAAAATTCTGAGTTAAGCATACTTCCGAAATAGGATACAAGAGCTAAAAGAAAAGAAAATAATAAGAAAGGCACGATCAAGTATTAGAAAACCATGAGCAGGGGCAGGTAATGAATCAATGTTAAGGCCATCTTCACATTCAAAACAAACAGAACGACACGAAATCCGGAAAATGTCCACGTAGATCTTGAAAGACGTGATACAAAGAACAAAGGATGAGCTACAGCTGAATGGTCATCTCGAAAAAAGGAAGCTTAGTTGAAACCTAAGACAAGAATGTTAGAATCCTCATGCCAAAGCAACTTGATTGTCTTACTTAGGACAAAAGAAACGACTTCACGTGTGGGTGAGTTTACGCAGGTGGTTCTTCTCAAGTGGTATTAGAGCAATTTGAATCTCATAAACGCAATGGCGGAGGCTGAGGAACAAAAGGGTGAGGGCCCAAGCGACTGTGTAAAAAAAGGACTAGGTATCGAGCATATAAGGCTCTTGCGAGCTATCTTTTAGGGTTAATTGCCACTCCACCTGGTCGATTCTTATCAAATAGACAATGAAAAATGTGGTACTGCAAAATAGCACAAATGAAAGAAGAGAATCGAGCAAAACAAGGATCTATGGAAGGCATTGACAACCATCAAATTAGACAACAGGAGCTGGATAGTTTTAAACATATCCGAGGCTCAATAGATGAGGTTGTCTGCAAATAGAATCAAAGATTTCTCAACCAATTTCTCACTAACGAACAAAATCCTAGTATGCAGTAAATTCAGACCTCATATGCATCATTACAGCACAAAACAACACAAGCATAGAACAACAAAACAAGTCGACTGTTCCAGAACAAATATAAAACAAAAATGGCAAAAATAGAGAGAACTGAAAGAAGAAACGTACTGCTGGGCCTCGTCAAAGGCAGGAAGAGGAGTCTCTTCGCTGTTGTAGTGAGAGACCAAAGTGTCGAAACAGTAAACCGCCATCTCTCTGTTCGCCGACACCATTGTTGTTTGTGAACAGCTCGAGAGACGACAAACCCAGCAACCAATTAAACCTGAAAAACCGAGATCCCAGTAAACAACTTGTCCGAGGAAGTAATTCGAAATCAGTGGGTCTTCGCGCGGTTCATGCGATCGACACAAATCGATCTCCGCTGAGAAGATCGGCAGTGTGGCCCTAGAAATCGAAGGCAAATCAAAAACAAAAACAAAATAACATAGAAACATCTTTCAAGTGCGCACAGTAGAACACCTAATCGCGATGCCAGACGAAGAAGATCAGAAAAAAAGCGATTCAGCGGGAATGCGCTTCTTTTTCACCGGGGAAAATAATGCGAAACGCAAGAAATCTAAAAGGGCATCGATCGATCCGTCGAAGGAATTGGGAAGAAAAAAAAAACTGAACAGAGAAAGGCGTCAATTTTCAGCAATCAGCTCAGAAGAAGAGGAAAGGGACAAGGAGGCGAGGCTTGCCTTAGAGAGCCGGCAGTGACACGCAAATAGACAAAAGGGGAGTGAGTTGCTTTTGTAAGAAACCGAGTGGATATGGACATATTATTGGTAGATGCAAAAAAGATTTATATTTTTTTAGGGTTTATTAATATTTACACTGAATGAGCTCCGTAACGCACACGCATCTGATGTTTGGTCCCAAAAAAAAGGAACAAAAATAATAAATTTAAAATAAAAAAGCGAAAATAAATATTATTTAAAATAAAACACTTCATTAGAAATATTAGAAGTATTTATTATTCATCGCTTAATATTTTGTCGGTGGATACCATTCTTTTTCTTTAGATTTAATATTTTGTTTTAAATAATATTTAGATTTAATTATTTTTATTGCATTTCGAGGTCGAGACATGCATATCCATATATCTAAACAGCACGTATTATACTTTACTGCTCACAAGATCGAGTTCACTACAACATCTGATCTCTCTTCTTACCTGGAAATTCTTTGATTTCTCGATCGTTACCATAATGTCCCTTCTCGATCAATGCTCATCTAGCGACTTCATCACCGTTCTCGTTCACAACAGCATCATCACCATCAGAACTTGCTCCATCATCATCATCATCATGATTTTGATGGTCTACATGTGATATATCAGTTGTGGTGCCCTCAAATGGCCTAGAGGAATCTCTCCCGTTGTGCTCACGACCATCCTCTCCGGCCAGAACCAAAGGCAACTTCAAAGGTTGCTCCTTGAAGAATTCGTTCATTACCATGAACCGAAAGACCTGCAATAACCGGTGTTTGTCCCTTTTTACATCCGCATCCAGGAGCTTCTCGAGAAGAGTGGGTTTCCTCGCGATCACGGAAGATTCTTTGGTTGAGTTTTTGTCTTGGAACCTCGGTTTCTTACTAAACTTGTCACGTTCGCCATGTCTCCTCTTACCATGTCTACTCTGAAATCTCCCTTTTCGGTCATGCTTCTCATGAACCTGTCGGCTCCTAACCAACTGCCCATTGCTCTCTTTATCTCCATTAGCTTCTTCACTTGTGTTCGAGAAATAATACGACGGAACTTCCGCAACTTCGACACCCAACTCAGCCTGCTTCGCCAAAATCTCCTTGAGTTGCTGCAGACAAAAAAAAACAAACGATAATATTTATTCAGAAAATGTATCTGTTAATCTTTCACTGATAATGAACAAAGAGAAAAAAACAATGAAACGAATGTTGAATTTGATAATATCACATAGAAACTTAGAAGAAGGATTAGGATTTTCATTTTCTTTATTGAATCAACAAAGCAGCTTTTTCTTTAGAAAATTTACAGTTTGTGTCATCAATGAGTTTTTAGAACATGAAATATATATCCCTTTTCACGGAACAAACTCAAGGATTACAAGTTTCTTCCCTTAAATCCATCGAATCAATGAAGGATGTGCCTTGTTTAAGCTTCTATTACACAATAAAGGAAACAAGAAAGCAAAGGGTACCTGGCTTCGGGTTTTTGCTTCCTCATCAACATTGCAATCTGAATTATTTTTCTTAAGCTTCTGCATATAAGTAAAAAAACGGTACTCACTATATTGTCTCGAAACGAATGAAGATCAGAAAACAAACCAAGGAGCTAGTCCAACCTTTTCAACATTGACTTTCGTTGGATAGTTTTTCCGACGCTCACCGAAACAGATTACGTATCCACATCCTGTCCGAGAATCAGGCGAGAAATTTCTCCCACAAATAACACATATTCCATCATATGCAGATTAACTCAAGGGAATATTAAACAAGAAGAACATCATAAAAGAAAGAAATTCACCATGAAAGAGTAGCATCAAAGAACATGACCGAATAGCAAGCAAGCCCCAAAGAGATTTAATCAAAGTGAAAAAGAAGGAACTTGATGTATCGTATCGAAGTATATGTGCTATCTACCTTCATGAGCTGGTACCTCGGGCAAATATGTGGCACTTCGCCTTGTATTACGCTCAGGATCAGTAAACTCGATGATTATTCCATGCTTTCCAACCTTCAGTAAGATCACGAAATGGGGAAAAGTCGAAATACAAACCCGAAAAAAAAGGGAATTTGACCGATCAAAAGCAAACGTATTTTGGTGTTTCCAAATCCGTTGTCTCTTAGATTTTCCAAAGTTCGTGAAATTAAAAAAAAAAACAAGCAGAGAAATGTAAAGAAAAACAAGCAAAACAAATATAAATCAAAAAGATCATTAGACAATCCTAAGCATTTATTAGGAAATGCACAAATCGGCATTGTGCTACATGAACTCAGCCCCTGGTTGTTTATCATTATATTTTTGGTGCATATTACAAGTATGTTGTGGCTCAAGGAAACTTTTCATATGTATCAATGAAGAAGGCAGTACATGAAAGAGCTATAATGAAGGTGATTATTGTGTAAAGTCATAACAATATTTCATGGAAAAAAATCATGGAATTTACCAAATTAGTCAATCAACCAGAAACAATGTTAAAAGCTCGTAATATGCAGCAAAATTCTCCCCATTGAGCTTCTAGAAAAAGAAAAAAAAAACTCAGGTCAAGCTAAAGGCATGCGTATGCACCCTACAGATAGACACAGGACTTGTACTAAAAAACACAATTTATTAAGAAATACCATTAAAAATGATCAAGCAGGAAGACAATCCGATGTTGAGAACAAAAAATAACATTAAAAGCATGTACCAGATACCTTTTCTTTTCCTTAACTATGTTGGCAGAATCTGATCCATTTAGTTCAGCTCCCATCTTATTGTAGTGCCCTGAAATCGTTCAAGGCAGAAACAAAAAAGGAGTAAAGGATCAAAGGAAACAACAACTCCTATCATGTTTGTAATGTTTTAGAAAACTTGTTGGAGTGCATCAAAACCTAATATCATATTTTGTACGGTTGCTTAACAAAAATATCCTGACGTATCAAGAAAGACTATGTTGAGGAGATAAGCATGATTGATCGCAAAAATCATGTGGCAATGATGACCGATAGTTGAAGCGTTATGAAAAAAAAGTCGATTCTTTGATTACCAAAAACAAAAAAAAAGTCTAGCATAAGCAACAAACCTTTTCCCTTGTGATCCTTATGGAACCCAAACTTTCTCTTCATGTTATTTGCCTGATGGAACTGAGGTCTCTGAGGTCTACAACAACAAATATGTATATATATATATATATATATATATAAACCAAGATGCTACCAATCTAATATTTTAAAGATGAGTGAGAGACAGAATTCAGGTAGTAGGAACATACCCCTGACAATGGCCTCTGACTCTGAAATGTGAATTTTTTGTAAATCGATTTTGCAATTCATTCCCTTTGGAACCCGAAACGTTGTTGATGCTGTTGACATTATTCACAGATTGCCCCTGCAGAAAATTAAGTTCATTCAGACATATTGTAAACAGGGCACTTCTAGAATGACTTTTAACGAGAGAACCGTGGAACTCAACAGCAAGAAGAAGCCGATAGAGACAACAGAAGGCCCTTTAATAGACAATTCTTCCCACAGACCAGAACTTATAGAAACCACAAATAGACAACCAACGTTGTAATAGCTACCAAGAAAACTTTACAAACGAATCACATTCACATCTAACATGAACTTTTTCTATTCAGAGGAAAAACGAAAGGATCAAGGACCATCACCTGTGGCTGCGACTCGGATAAAGCCGGAGGACGCTGCTGCAAGTTGTGATTTTGATGCTGCGTCGGAATTGAAGGATAACTAATAGAGTTATATGGATTGAGTTGCGGTTGAGAAGAAGCCAGAGCAGATAGGTCGAGAGGCGGAGGTTGGACAAAGTTTTGCTGAAGCAGGGGAAGCGAGTGACCCAGAAGATTAGAATTAGCTACTGCAAACTGAAGATTCCCCAATAGATTCGGAAGTAAGTGGTTGATGTTATTGTCGGAAAAAGAGAACTGAGGGAACTGTTGCTGTTGTTGAGGCATGTTGGAGAGATGATTGGCGAAAAACTGAGGATGCAATTGCAATCCCGTCATGGCATTATTCGAGTGACCCATCAATGGATTGCTCATCAATTGTGGATTCGTCATACCCATATGATGGGGTTGCAAATGGTTCTGAAACCCATTAGGAGGCCGATGAAGATTCTGCAGAGACAGATCGCAAACACGAACATGTGAAAAAGGAGAGAAAGAAAACCCACCAAAGGCTCTCAAGCAGCTGGAACTGACAGTGCGATGGAGAATTTCATTCAGAGAGAGAGAGATACCTGATGCTGTGGACGTGGCCGCGGCTGGGGATGGAAGGAATTGAAAGGAGGCCGCATTCTTTTCTTCTCCTTTTTTTGGGTGAGACAATGGTTTCTTTCTTCAGAAGAAGAAAGGGTTTAGGGTTTTAACGCGCTTCTTGTCCTCTTCATTCTGGAAAGGATTTCAATCACTTTACACATACTCTTAATTTGTGATTTATATATTAAAAAAATTCTAAAATATATTCATTTATTTAAATCCCAAAAATTACTCTTAAACAGTAAAAATCTACAAAATAAAAACATTTTTATTTGGTACGAGATAAACAAAAGGCAAGATGGGAAGACACTAAATATGATCACCGATCGTTTTTCAACTATATCTTTTAAAATATCGGAGAAATTTATGTGCATATCTTTTTTGAATAGAGATTCGAACGTGGATTAGAATACTATTAATATTTTATCAATAATTTGAACCAAAAATTGAAAAAGAACATATGGCAAAGTTCTTCCACTTTATTAGTAATTATCTAAATTTTCCAATGAATTGTAGGTTACTATAAAAGGAAAAGATTATAGATTCGACATGAACAAACAAATAAATTAATTATTCGGACCAAACATTCTCTTCAACTTGTCTATCTCCTTCCGGTTCAACCCAAAGGACTTCTCCAAAAGCTCTTCTTTGATCCCTGATCCGAATATGGCTCTCGGCAGTTTCATCAATCCCGGATTCTGACCGTTAAACATCCCGAGAATCGCCGCGGGCTCGTCGCCGATGTTCATCTGAAAATGCAGCAACCCTTTCGGAAAAACCATCACTTCTCCTTGCTCGATAACTCGGGCAAAAACTCTGCTTTCCGTGTCCACGAAACCCGAGTAGACCTTTCCTTCCATCACGTACGCGACCTCGGTCGCTCTCGGGTGATAATGCGGAACGTTTATCCCCCCGACCTCGAGATCCGCCCGAACAAACGACATTCCCAACGTGTTGAGAGCCGGAAAGGTATCGACGTTCACTGACTTAGCCGCTAAACCGGTCTCCCTGTCAAAGTTTCCACGAGATTTTATGCCGCCGTATATAAAATCTTCTACCGAAACGTTTGACACGTTCTTGCAAGACGGATGCATTAATTTGGCCGCGGAGGTTGATGGGTCGGTACGGATGCAGAAGTCCTGAACCGGATCTGGGTCGGAAGCCAATGCAGAGAAGATGATCATGAACAGAAAGGGAAGGACGATAACATGAAAACGGGGCAAAGCCATTGCAATAATACACAGATAATGGATGTGAAGAAGATGTCAGATGTGTAGTATTTGTGTCTTATGGGTTGTGTGTGTATATATGTCTATATATATGCATACATATATATATGTCTGAAGTGGACAATTAGTTATAGCTACAAGACATCAATGTTGAAGCAAGCTTCAAGCTTAAGTGAAGAACAATGATTGTGTATTATGCTGGAAAAAGCATTCATAGACTCTAACTACCACATGACAATTTCAATCATATGATCGTGTGTGTATTATGTGTATATGTATATGCATGGAGTATAATACAAGTTTTCATCCTAATTTTTTTCTCTTTTTTTTTCATGAAACCGTATCGAATTATATTAACGTATCGAATATAATATAATAATCAATTGATATATAATTTCTTAAACAAAAAACTAAACCGAACCGAAACTGAACCTAATACCGAAATAATGACCCCCTAACTTCAGCTTCCTTTTTTTTCTTTGACAAAGAAATTATCATTTTATGAATACCATTCACTCTATTGGTATAAATTATATAAGATTGAGAAGGGAAAGCGTTATTTTTTTCCGTTTATAATAAGTTTTTTTTTATAATCCAAAAGTTTACGAAATTTTCGATTTAACTATATCTTTTAAAAGAACGAAAAAGTCTTTTAAAAAAAGTATAGATAAATATTTTTTCCATATTTAAATTTGACTCCGAGATAAAAAATATTATTTATATTTTTTTTATCTTTAGACAACTCAAACTTGGGTTTATAAAAAGTATTTGGATCCAAATATTAGCTGATTAGTATTTTCTTACAATTATACTCTAATACTATACATATAATAAAAAAAATGATCCAATAATATTATGGTATGATATTTTTCATGGCATCAGAAATTAATTCCGATATAATACTTTATGGATTTTTCTTTTCATTCAACTACCATTCTTCTTTTTATTCGTCCTGTTTTTAAATTTTTGCACATATGATATTGTAAATGTGTTTTATCATGTGATTAAGATGTAAGTAATGTCTGTAGAATGTGATCATAATGTTTATTATTATCTTAAACAAGTAAATTTTTAAACATGATATTCACGTCTATTTTTAAAAACTTCGTCACAAGTTAAATCATTTTTTGGTTTATATGAAAAAAATCAAAGATCATATTCATATTTATATATATGTATATGTATATATATATTTATTTGGAGTTACGAGTATAGTCCAATCTGGTTTCTTATATTTTTTTTGGGTCATGAACTCATTGACTCGGTCCACATGAACTTTGTCCTCCTAATTCAATATATATATATATATATATGTGTGTATATATTTATATAAGATTTAACTTAAAAGATTTAACTTAAGATTTTTAAACCTTATACCTATAAAGGCGTCGTATATTATACATATGAAATAATTAGACAAATTTATTAATATATGGTATCCAAATGTAAAATAAATAAACGTTACAAATTTATTATTATATGGTATCAAAATGTAAAATCGAATAAACACTGAATAAACGTTAATATTACTATAATAATAGTTTTAAAATATGTACGATTTTATCTAAAATTTCAAAATACAGATATTAACTGGTAGTAATGATTATCATCTTTAAATTATAAATATTTTAATTATTTTGATGATAATTCGGTAACATCTAATGTTTATTTTTTCCGAAGGCTTTTTAGTAATGAAGAATTTTTTTAATATAATATCAATATATTAATCATCATTGCTATCTATTATTAAAAAAAAAAATGATAAATGATGAACACCTTATGAGTTCGAATCAAAATAATCCAGCAATAATCTGCGAATACAGAAGCAAGAAGATGGGATTAGGGATATCGATCCTCGTTGGTCTGAAATCCCTCGTCTGTTTCCTCGTCTTCGTCTTCCTCAGAAACCACGGCTTCTCACTGATCTCAATACCTTTCTTCTACACTTCCCTCGTCTCTCTCCTTGTCTGCGTCGCTTCTCACCCTTCAATCGATCTTCCTCTTCTTCTCGGCAAAAACCCAGATGGGTCGTTTCCTCTTTGGTCGATCATCGTCTTCAGTCCCTATCTTTACTTCGTTAGGGTTTTCTCCGCGCTTCGTAGATTCGTCAGTGGAGAAGAGCCCTACAACGAGATCTGCGAGGGCTTGTTCGTCGGTGGATGGCCGTCGTCGGAGCAGAGGATACCACCGGGAAATCCGGCGATAATCGATTGCACTTGCGAGTTCCCGAGGAGAGATGAGTTTAGAGGGAATGCCTATTTCTGTGTCCCGACATGGGACACGAGAGCTCCTAGGGTTCATCAGATTGAATCCGCTGTCAAGTGGGGGTGTCGGAAAAGGGCTTTGAATGTTCCGGTGTTCGTCCATTGCGCCTACGGTGAGTTTTTCTTCATCCGTGCTTCCTCTGCTGTATCCGCAATCGGTTGAGTGGTTTGAATCGAATTTGCATCGTGCAAGTCCAGTTTTTCTCTGTGGGTTTTCATCTCTTTTCTCTCTGAGAATTCATTCCACACTATTGCATGGTTGTTGAATTGGATCAAGTTCCACACCTGGATCATGTACTTGTCTGTGTAAATGATGAAACCCAGATGGGTTGTGTCCAGTTTAAGTATGGATTTTCAATCAAAGCCATTTGTAGATGCAATAGTTAGAGCTCTCGAGTGTGAAAGAGTTGATCGTGCTAGAAACAGAGTATTGCAACTTATTATATTTGTGACTGTCCTTTACAAATCCTTCTTC